CCGCAGCATGATGAGGTATTCGCGGCCATGTGGTAAAAGAGGCGGATGGAGAACGACACACTGCTTTGCTGGCACACTCTGAAGCACGGATTGCGGATTTGTATTTTGGTACATTGGTATCCTGCGCTGTGAAATGCTCTGGCTTTCTCTGCAGGGCCAGGCGCATCTCTCATTAATTATATTACACTTAAGACGCTGAGGGGTGACAGCGACAGCTCTGGGCTTAGTTTGGAATTCGAGACAAGCGCTCCAATGAAACGCGAGCAAGTGGCTCACCCGTACGATTGACGACAATGTAGTTGTGCCTGCGATGGGAACTATAAATGTCATGTGTGATAGAGAATATGTATATGTATGTATGTATATGTATATGTGTGTATGTATATATATATATATATATATATATATATATATATGTATATGTGTGTGTGTGTGTGTATGTACGGGGACGCGTTAGAGACGATTACGGTTAATAGTGGCTTGGGGGTGCTCTTCTGTGCTTGTTGCAAGTCTTCTAGTGAGGTGAACCCGCGTCCTAAGCCACTTGAAACGAAGAGAGCCTCCTGTTCTCCATATACCAGCCGCAGTATCACTTTGCTAGCAAAATAAGCATCCTCCTCAGTCTTCATTACACTTTACATTGCCTTAAATGCTGATGACACTGCGCAGCATCAATGTCCGACTTATCACATCCTAACACCTCATATCATCTGTCTTACAGCTGTGACGACGTGACTGTATGTCAGCTGAATCACGTGCAACCGACGTGACTGTATGTCAGCTGAATCACGTGCAACCGACGTGACTGTATGTCAGCTGAATCACGTGCAACCGACGTGACTGTATGTCAGCTGAATCACGTGCAACCGACGTGACTGTATGTCAGCTGAATCACGTGCAACCGACGTGACTGTATGTCAGCTGAATCACGTGCAACCGACGTGACTGTATGTCAGCTGAATCACGTGCAACCGACGTGACTGTATGTCAGCTGAATCACATTCAACGCCCGCTTCACGAGCCCCTGTGAGGAAGCCCCTTTTCGCGTCACGGGCCTGCTTCGGCAAGTGTCTCTATCGCCGATGCCATTAGGACATGCGATGCATTTTTGCAATATACAATCCGGTTCTTCTCTGTTCGTATTTGGCTCTAGATTCCTGTTTATGTTCAACTTTAAATATTTTTTTTAGGTGTACCTTAGTCTATTGCAAATAACTAGCGCATGAGACAACTGAAAGGCTAAAAAGCCTGTTTGTATAAGTAACGACCATGTAGCAGCGTCGCAGCCAGGCGCTTCCAACACGACCGAAACGTCCTTAAGCTGTGGTTCAGCCGATGAGACGGCGTCAAGGTCGAAAACCACATGCATCCCCGTTACTTCGCGCATCGTCCTGGCGCCAGGCAGAATCAGCGCGTTATTACGGGACTGTAATAATGGCTTTAATGACTGCACTGTGCGCTGCAGAAACTGTGTTCGGCTCAGTTGATCACCTCCAGAGAACAACGCGAAGGCCTGGTGTGATCTTACGCGCAGTTGTTCGCTGGTGAAACCCGGTGTAGCGACTTTCATGCGGAGTTCGCTAAATGTGACAAAGGTTGAGAAACTTTGTGAGTTTGTGAAGGGACATTTTATATTGGCCGGATGGCAGAATTTTTTTCAGTTAAAACACTTTTAAGTGATGGAAGTCAGACCGCAAATATAGCTCAATCTACCGTAACATAGGTCGCAATAATATAGCCCGCAGCCGAAGATGGCTGCGATGGCTGTGCACTTCCATCAGACCATTGCGGGAGTCCATTCCGTCGTTGGATGGGTTTGCGCGGGTCCGCTCACATCTCTAGGTGAATCACAGGGGCCACGCATCTGTTTTCTTCCGCGGTCAGCACGCTGGAAAACCCCTCCCCACCTGGCCCTTGTCAAACGCCGGTAAACAAGGCCGGAGGGCTGGGGGGACCCAACGGAAAACGCGCACGTCATGATCCCGCTGTCAGCTCGAGACCCAGGCTCCGTCCCCACATGTCGATTGAGCGTGAGGTTAGCCGGATTAGCAGGTTTCCTTGGGTTTTCTACTAGCTTGCGAAAAGGACGCGTCGTGTAAGGTAACTAGACGCTGTGGGTTTCTGGGACCATTGTGATTTGGTTAGAAATGAACAGGAGTATGTCGATTAACACCATTCGGACGATTTAACAGATGAAAACGAGCAGCATGTTTGCAACCTTCAGCCTTCAACGGGATCGCCTTCTTGCTTTTGGTCTTGCAAATGTGCTTCTAGCTTTGTTACTCTCACCTCATTCCAGACACCTTACAAAATTCAACCCTTTGTAAACATATGTATCCGTTCCAACTAAAGTCGAGGCCTGTTGAAACAGCGTAAATATGTACAGCATAGCCAGTGGCTGAATGAGAAGCCCTGTTCTCAGCCATGCACTAGAATCATCCTTGGCTACTGGGTTTCAGGCCAATGATGCCAAGCAATAAATTGGCTACCATCGCACGCTCAATCAATGTCATTCCAGGAACTGAGAACGGATCACGGTGAGAGAGCTCGAGAAGCACATGGCACCCCAAACGCCTGCATTGGCCGCGTATCAAGTGGACACCAAATAGGGGGATGACAAGCCGTGATAGGCCACGCGGCGGTGAGTTGTGTTGGCGCACGACTCCAAAAGCAGAGGTCAGAGGTCAGGCGCCACCACTTGCCGATGGTCCAGTACAAATCGTCTGGAGCTTGCGGCGTTTGATGCTTCACGTTTCGTCAGCGGCAAGGAGGCATTGTTCCTGCAGCCATAGCATGCCCTTTTTGACGAACAAGCAACCAAGAGCAAGCAACAGAGAACAAAACCTAATGCAAGCGTGAATCGCTTTTGACGAACCGTCAGACGTCAATAAGTCATACTTTTATCGGTGTCTGGATGGTGAGGCTTCAGTGTTCTCGCGGTGTTCTTTAATTTCTGCAACTTCTTTCGCGTTTTGTTAGCTAATGTAGCACGCTTGAATTGGAGAACAATGAATTTTCGGTGATGTCTTTGGTCATGTCTTTCGGTGATGTCTTCGGTCAAGTCTCTTTCGGTGATGCAAAAACATGTCGTAATAATACAAATTCATACGGCCTATGTGAAAATGGCCCGAGGAGAGCAAACAAACGGTTTACAGTTCGAACGCTGCATAACATTTAGGTGCCGCATGAATGAATTCAAGCACCCTTGCAGAGTTGACGACGATCAGCCGCTGCACAAAATATAGAGAAATAATCCACTGCGGAGATAACGGGAGAGGGGGGGGGGGGGGGTGCGGGGACGATAATAAGGACGCTTTCTACTTAGCGTGGTTCATTGGCTTAATGTTGACGCCTTCCACACAGCGCCTGCACTGAAGCTGGTCGTTAGTCGTTAGTCGTATCCACTTCCCAGTGTTTTGATGTTTAAATCTGGGCCATGTGAAGCCGACTGTACTGGTGGATTAAAAAACATCCCACTGACTTGTGTTGTAAAGTGTCCACAAGTTAGTATTGCCATCTACAATTAAACAAGACTAAGGAAGTGGAATATTGTCCAAATGTGGCAAGCAACGAAGACATAGCCACAAAAATTGTTGAGCGTACAAAACAAACTTTCCAAATTGATTTTGATGGGAAGGGAAAATGATGTCTGGATAACGCAGCACTTTTGCACTAACCAATTCCCAAAATAAATTCAATATTGTCATTTTCCTAGTTAGTCTTTGGTTACAACGCTATGGTAAAAAAGACTTCTGCAGTAGAACTAGTGCCGAGTACTCCCATGGATTTCATTCTAATATCCAATAGTTGCATTTACTCTACGTAAAAAACGGCAAACGTAGAGGCAGCAGGTGAGAGTGTGTCACAGCTGTATATGAGAATATCTGGAGAGTATGCCATAACTGTCTACATACATAACAAATCACATATATTCGAGTAGAGCTAGTACTTTTTATATGTCCCTATCTTCTCCGCTGCTTAATCATTACAGTCCTACTCTTAAGCAATGTGCGTGTGTCGGCTGATATTTTACAACATTGGGTTTAACTCCACACGCAAAGCTGCGAGAAAACACTCCGGAGGATTATGCAGGCGAAAAAATTGACCATTTCTGTGCTGTTTAGTCCCTCGTGTGGTATTAACCCCATATAGGGACTCGCTCATGCAGCCTCAAACTCCGTCGCGGGGTCGATGCGAGCTGCCACGCGCTCTGCGCTACGTGCGGCGACTTGCGCCCCGGCGAACGGGTCGGGGCATTCCTGCGTAGGTTCCCACGCACAGGGTGCCGCCCCAGGGGCAGTCAGCTGGCAGCACGCATAAAAGGGGTCGGGGGAGACCAGCAGACCCACTGACGAGGTATCCCCACTCGCGAACAGGTAAGGAGCGTGGAGTGCCGCGCCAGGGCAGCGGGCTGTCGCCTCCGACGGTGGTGAACGGCGCATAGCTTAGAGGCTTTGTTGGAGAGTGGTTTTAGTTGTGTGCGAGCGCGGATAATTTTGTTTTTGTCGAATTGTGTCCAATTTCCGTGAAACTGTGAAAGATCTTTCACCAAGTGTGAGAGATCCATGAGGTTCCCCCATGCCCTCCGATCTTGTAATTTCAACTACTGTATGGGAGGATGATTTGACACTCGTACTCCGATTGTTAGCAAAGAAATGTTATTTAAATGGATTAATGTTACCCTCTCTTTGGTACCTGACACAAAGCAGCATATCAAATTGGGTGTTCTTTTAGGTAAAGTAAAATCTTCACCAATCTATTTAAATTATTTCATCCCTTATAAAAAGGCGTTTTTCCCGGACCATACTGGTACTCCTTTATTTCACTCCCCTCCGAAAAAGGCAGGGGAATGTTCTTTATACACTGTGCACGTTACGCGCGAGATTTAGACCCGTCATTTTTATACCTCTTATTAAACAGACATTATTTGCATAGACCAGTTGCACGGTAATCAAACTAAACTCGGCTGAGGGTTTCTCAGGACCGGAAACTTCCCTCTCCGCCGACTTCGGACTCCTCGCCCCAACAGCCGTCTCTCTGCCGGCAGGCCGACAGCATGCGCTCCGCCGTCGCCGTGTTGCTCTTGGTGGCGCTGGCCTCGGGCCGGCCGCAGTTCGGCGGCTTCAGCCGCTTCCCGCCGCAACAGTTCCACCGGCCGCCGAGCCACGCCACCGGCGGGGCCTCGAGCAACATCGTGTCAGGGGTCAGCACCGGGCCGCACCAGGGAGCCAGCATCACCCAGCTGAGCGCGTCGGCAGGCGTGAGTCCGCTACCGGCCGCCAGAGGCGCTGCGGGCGCCCACACCAATTTCAATTAATTGGTTTTCGTGCAACACCATTGACCTAATGTTGGGTTGCATAAGTCTTCAATTTCACGGGGCTAACCCCGAGTTATCGCGCTTACTTGGTGCAGTCGTGTGGCGGAATGTTTTTTAGGCAGGATTACGCTTCGGACTTATGTTTTACAATAAGACTGTATGAAACACCGCAGGCATGGCTGAGCTAACTGCGGTCAAGGTTGTCTTAGCATGTCGAATATCATTTTTTCCCGATGGAGCAAATCCAGACAAGTAACAAGCTTTCGACCTCCCCGTGAGCTATGTTTCGACCACCACCCCTGGTGGCGTTGGTTTCTCACACTACATTGCGTCGAAAATTTTACTGTCATGTGCACGTAAAATGCGGCTGCGTATGCACGTAACACATCTGACGTAATATAACGTCTCGGCAATAGCCTCTTTGTCGCTTTGTTCCACCTCATAACGAGGGAGTTTGCTCACGGTTAGTTCCTGTGATAGTCTGCAGTTCCTCGGATCCGTTCTTGTTGTTGCGATGCAGTCTCCGTGATGAAGGGTAACGTGTGATGAAAGGTACCACCTTGTAGATACGAGTTGTTTTTTATATTTATAATGAAAAATTGCACGCAATGACATTAACCGGCCTTGCATTGTCAGGGAACACTGACCAGTAAACGAGAGATAAAACAAGTCATCCTGTGAATATAACTATACAGCCTCTCATGGTAAACTTAAGGTTGTTTGCAGCCTGTCATGGTAAACTTAAGGTTGTTTGCGGCCTCTCATGGTAAACTTAAGGCTGCTTGCAGGCAACAGCAATAATTTATTTCAATGTCCTCCACCTTGAGTGGAAACTTGCGGAGCCATGATGGCCTTTGTTCTAAAATGCATCTCGCGGTTAATAACAATCACATTTAATGCCTTTCTACGGCGCTGTATTGCGCGATTTCCACAGGTCATACCATTGCGGCATGTTGCTTTGCGTGCCGACGCTCTTGGATGTTGTCTTCCCCTAAGTTACCGTGTTGATCTGGTGCCATGACTCTGTGTGGTACTGAACGCCTACCCTTCTCCTGTCTTGCGTTTCTCGTCATGCCGAGCGTCTGCCCACCTCTAAAATCACAATCCTGTGTCGTGCCGAGCGTCTGCCCACCTCTAAAATCACGATCCTGTGTCGTGTCGAGCGTCTGCCCACCTCTAAAATCAAGATCCTGTGTCGTGTCGAGCGTCTGCCCACCTCTAAAATCAAGATCCTGTGTCGTGCCGAGCGTCTGTCCACCTCTAAAATCACGATCCTGTGTCGTGCCGAACGTCTGCCCACCTCTAAAATCACGATCCTGTGTCGTGCCGAGCGTCTGCCCACCTCTATAATCACAATCCTGTGTCGTGCCGAGCGTCTGCCCACCTCTAAAATCGCGACGTGATGTCGTGCCGAACGTCTGCCCACCTCTATCACCCGCGTCCCTGTGTCGCACCAAGTGTATGGCCCAAAGCTAACTGGGCGTGATTCTCGCAGGGGACGGCCAGCGGCAACGCAGTGAGCTCCAACTCCGCCAGCGCCACCAACCTGGCCGGAAGCGGCATCTTTGGCCAGCAGCAGTTCTCCAACACCAATGCCAACTCCAACCAGCAGACGTTTAACGGCTTCGACTTCGGGAAATAGGGCGCGTCGGGCGGCTTCGGCTTCGAAGGATGAGGCCAATTTGGCTGATTTGGCTCCGCGCGGCTGGGAGAAGCGGCCCTGGCGCTACTCTCGTGGGTGGTGATCCCATATCGCTGGAGAGCTCTGTGCCCAGGGTCAGGGGACCTCTGCTCTGCATCATGTGACCCGCGTACTGGAACAGTCTGACCGTGAGTGCTGGATCAGTTTTGTCGTGTTTTCGGCGACTTATGGCCCTACATGCCGCTGCATTGAACTGCGGTATAGTGATAGAAATTCTCAGGAATAAACGCATGTCTACATTAGTGTTGTTTTATCCAATCAATCCACCGAACGAATAATATGGTTTAGCACTCAACCTTTCACCGGGCAGGAACAGCTCGATACTAAAAACATACCACATACCTGCGAACCCTTTTTGAACCCAGACTTTTCATTTTCGAGGTGAAATCCTATTTACACGAAACCCGCATAATTGTTAACAATGTATGTAGACTACGTTGTGCAAAATGGCCTCGGGAAAGCCTCTACATACGACAACAGCCGCATTGTACCAGCGAATGCTCAGTTTCACTTTTTTTTTTACTAGTAATAGCATGCATGGCATTGATCATGCATCGTGATTGATCTTATTCCTTTGCTTCGGCACTCCAAACATCTAGCCGTCTCGCCCTTTAAACGCAGTTCTGGCCATATGCTCGCTTCGCTTCCTACTCGTTTCTTCTGAACGATCGCATGCAAACCGTTGTTTCATCGCCCTGCCCATACCATCCAGTGCACGCAGTCCTCTCCGAATCTCTTCAAAGCAGACCCGTGAAAGTGCAACCTGCTCTGACAGCAGTTAAAGCAGTGGTCACAATCTATCCAAATTTTAAGGCGTCTCGATAGGTCAGCTGCCACCGTTGTTGGACTACCCCCTGTCGACTTTTCCCGGATTTGTCAGCTGTAAGATCCATTGTACAAAGCACATTTTGTAGGTAAGTACGTGTACAGTCCAGTCATCTCATTCGAATGGCAAATTAGGTTTGTTGGGTTGATTGCCGTTACCACTACAAAATTTATGTATGATATTTGCCTGAGCATGGTGCTGTGGAAGAGAAGACCACGTGGTGACAATAGCATGGCGTCAGCTCTTCAGTACAAAGTGTTTCAACATCGTCAGTTGAACAACACTGTAAAAAACATGTCCGTTATTCTGCACATCCTAGCGTCAGAAAGCTACCTCTCGGGAGCAAACTTTTCACTATTTCCGTAAAATAGAGCAAGATGGCAAAAGGCCTTACAGGTCCCGTCACGTTGAGAAACGATCTCACTAATGCGTTTCGTGCAAAGGTGGCACCGGGTTCTCGATCGGGCGTATAAAGGTCTCATCGTTTTCATACCGTTAGCTATGCTTTGGAACAGACAATGCAGGTGATCAGCGAAAGGAATCTCCCTCAAATATGGGACCACGGACGAATAGTTTTGACTTTCCGCTTATCCACAAACCTCCGAAGTCAATAAAACCATGTCGGATGTCGGATAATAAAAGTAATGCGCATTGTTGCTGTCACGCCGACTTGTTCAACTGGCCTCTAGTCGATGCCTACCATATCTATCCAGGTCAGCAGTTTATTTCAACAGCTCTGATGTCGACTCGGCAGGTGAGTTTAACTTCTGACACATGATCGATTCACACCGGCCCTCTTATTAGCAATCACAAAACGCAAACCGCTTTGAAAACATGTATCACCAAAACGTGAAATGCCGATTCGGTCGTCCCGATGTGTTCAGCTCACACTGGCCACTTCACTCTGACCACCTGCACCGAGCGTCGCCTAGGTGTGAGGACTGGCGCGACTCAGACAAGGCTCCAGAACGTGCAGACCCGAGCGGCGAATGTCTCGCTGTTTGCTGTCAGGGATGTCTAGCATCACCCCATCCCCTCCCGTCAGACCCCTGCCGGAGTAGCCTCCCACCGCTGCCGCGCACCAGCGGGTGCCCTCAGCGCACGGACGTTCGGCGGCTGCAACGTCGTCAGCCGGGCCGCGCCGGCGCCGCCGCCCTCAGTAGTCGAAGAACTGGGTGCAGTCGCTGACGCCGGCCTCGCACTCGCAGAGGAGGCCATCGAACAGCTGGAAGCCTCCGGGCGGGTGCAGGCCCGTGTACCAGCCGCGCGCGCGCCCGAACGCCCTGCTGTTCCACTCGTGGTGGTAGCAACCTGCCGGGGTGGCCGGTCGTTGGGCTGGTGCGAGAGCAACAACAACAGCAGACAACGATCGGAGAGACAGCGTGTGGCTGCGGCTGGCTACGAAGCGCGGTTTGACACTTTGTTTTCGCATGTCAGCTGTGTCTGGTTAGCTTGAGGGCTAGATTGACATTCCACTCAACCGAGTTGCTGTTGCTGTGTCCACATTTCGTGACACCGTATGCGTAATCTTTTTTTGGTCCTTAACACAGAGCAACTTTTTTATATTGCATGTGTCAGGCTGCTGCTACTGAACATAAGGCGTTCTTCATCACTTGCAAAATGAATGTGTTAATGCCCGATGGTAATTGCCCCAATCGGACTGGAACAACTACATAGTTACTGAGGAACGTTTTTCTTTAAGCAGCTACCATGAAATACAATATTTTCTTTTCTTGTTTCTAGTATGATCACTTAAGTTGTAAGGTGCACGGTACATATGTAAGGAACAGTAGGTATGCATAAGAGCAGTTATATTGACTTTGTTCCCAATGTATGGGGGAAGTTGAAAACGTTGACGGATGCATTAGGGAAACATTAAAATAGGGACAGAGATCAAAAAGCCATAACCACATATTTTTGTTTAGCCTTTCCGCATGTATCAAAAAGGAGTGAGGACAATTAAAACTACTCCTACGTGCACATGTAGTCGTGTGGATTATTTGCCGAAGTGATGGTGGGATGCCGCTGACGATGTCTTGCAGTGTGGGTACTTACCCAGCTATACAAGTGGTTTGAACTATAAGTTTTTATCAGCTTGTCACCCAAAATCAGCAGGGATTTAGGTTTACACTGCTTGTCGAAGCGAATAGACACCTAAGGTGTGAATCAAACCCATGTCGCGTGTGACATGTGCGTACATACATGCACTGAACCCAGTGTGCGCGCTCGCTCTAAGGGGTGACCTGCGTGCCAACACAGCACCACCCAGTGATGTGAGCGTCCTAATCACATGGCATGATGGCATGTTATGGCATGCCATGGTGCCCTGATAGGACATGACGTGATGTCATGGCATGCCATGACATTATGTCATTACATGATGGCATGACATGATGGCATGACATGATGGCATGGCATGATGGCATGGCATAGCATTACATGCATACATGATATGACATGACATGACATAATGACACTACATGGCATGAAATCCCCCTAATACCATAATATGGCATCAGGCAGCCGAGGCATAATATGTCTATCAGGCATAATATGTCAGGCATAATGTATCAGGCATATATAAAAATCAGGCATAATATGTCTGTCGGCAGCCGAGGCAGGGCGTCAACCGTTACTTACACTCCGAGTTCACCTCCCTGATGACGTAGCTATCCGCTGTGCACCGGAAGGTCTGACACTGGTCAGAAAACGATGCGATCTCCGAGTCCGGGGGGAACATCATGTCGCCCTCGAAGGGACCGCAGCCGCCGTTGTTCTGACCGCACCCTTTCTTCGGTACCTGCCGGCGCCACCGTGCTCAGCACCGCCAGTGTCCCACTCTGCGAGTGGCGCTGTTTTTCTGAGATGGAGTGTCTAACTCTCCAGCGAGGAACGGCCGCTTTCATACTTGGCGTCGTCACCGGTGTTTCATTCACCATGGATATACGAAGCGACCGACGCTTACGCCAACGAAACCACAGGAGCTGCGCATTCCACGAGACGCACGACCGACAAGGGAACGGGGCGCGCTCGGTCCGCACCTGACAGATGGGGTACATCATGTTCTGGCGGCTGTTGCAGAGGTAGTCCCTCCAGCCCTGCGAGCGGCTGGTGACGGTCAGGCCAGCGCAGGCCGTGTAGCGCCGATCGTCCGGCGAGCCCTCCTCCCACGGCTGGAAGGTCAACGTGTCGCCGTCCGAGGTCTGCCACTGGCGGCCGGAGTCGCGGGCGTCCACCCAGCCGCCCAGCACCTCCTCACTGTTGCGTTCCTGCCGCAGAGGACAGCGATGTCACAGCCGCCCAGCACCTCCTCACTGTTGCGTCCCTGCCGCAGAGGACAGCGACGTCACAGCCGCCCAGCACCTCCTCACTGTTGCGTCCCTGCCGCAGAGGACAGCGACGTCACAGTCACCGTGCGGACATGCCGTACTTTTGTCACGGTAGCGTGACAGCGACATTACTGTGACGTCACCGAGGCATCACAGATACGTAATAGTGACGTTATGGTCGCGGAATGGCACGGCTAAGTTATAGCTACGAAACACCTACGTCTCGCAACAGCAGAGCAAATGCATCAGAGCCATCGCGTAGTCAGGCCAGAACCGAGCTACGATTACGTCACAAAAAGTTCCAGTTACGTCACAGCTATATCATCAGTTATCCCATGTGCGACACCACTGCGTCACAGCTGCATCATAATGACGTCACAGAGAGGGGGAGGGGGGTACTCACAGTTGCGATATTTTTGACACCCACGTGGAGACCCGAGTTCAACTCCTGGCTGACAATACCGACTCTGGGAGCCTACATGCCCTTTGTTGTTGTTGATTGGAGTCTACGGACGCGCCGCCAGCGGTGGTCATTTGGCGCCCATAACGAGACCTTACATGCCCTTTGCAGTTTGTACCACTCAATGAAGGGTTGTGCGACGACGTGCGGTTCGCAGCCTTTTGTCGAACTCTGGCACAGCTGCGTCGCCCGTCTGCACCACAGCCGCGGCACCACTGTTTCACAGCCACTTGTTTTACTTGACAGCTTTCTCGCGAAAGGTTGGGTGCATCACCCCCCCCCCAAAACAAAACAAAAACAGGCTAACTCTGGAGCGCCACTACGCAGCAAAGGCGCTGTGCGCGCAGTTGGTGTCCGTTCGCCCATGGCAAGCTGCTAGAGTAGTGCCACATTCCACTGATGCAGCAGTGGCGTGCCCACACCAGATCCCAGTTCCACCAGACTCGCTGCCCCAGCCATAGACGGCAAGCCGGCGGAGCTCAATCAGAGCCCAAAGCCAGAGCCGGCGACGCCAGAGCCGCAGAGCCGGGCTGTGCGATGTGTCTGCACACACCTCCAGCGGCGTCATTTCTTTGTGCATTATTGGGAATGTCGAACTGAGGGTCTGGTAACCCTACCTTATCGAAAATGCACGGGTGCGCAAAGGTGCATCTGTTAAAGGGCCAAACCTAGACTTTGTACTCTTTATTTTGACAAATGGCTGTGTCTTTATCTAAATTAATCATGCTTTAATCATACCTAATTCAAATCCCAACTCAATCATTTAATCATAATTATTTTGATTAATTTGACGGACTTGATTTGATCGATGTTTTGATTAGTTTAATTACTTTGATTTTTACGATTATTTGAGCTACTTTCTATTTCGGTGGGCTAGTAGTCATTGCAAGGAGATAATGTCCAAATGAGAGGGACTTTGAATGATGCTCATACCCTTCCTATTTTGCTCTGTGCTATATGATGATCGATATTGGGGTACCCAAACCAACATAAGCGCCCAAATCAACACATTGATGGGGACAGGGCCCTCACGAAGTAATCCAAACCGACACCGGCGCGCGCACCTCCATGCTGCTGAAGGCGTTAATCAGCTGTGACAGCTGCGCCTGGTTCTGCGGCAGGGCCAGCTTGGCGAGCAGCCGGCCGCAGGCGGCGTTGGCGTCCTTCCACGTCATCAGCTCCTTCCAGATGTAGATGCAGCTGCCGCCCAGGTCCAGCCAGCCGTCCGGACACCGGCTGGCGAAGACGTCTGACGGGGTGACGGCGGAGTGTCAGAGTGTCACAGCGGAGTGTCAGAGTGTCACAGCGGAGTGTCAGAGGCGTCCACAGCGGGTGCACTCCGGGCAGTGTCGCTGACTGCAGACCGGGCTCGTGTCTGTCATCGACTGAGATGTTAGGCCCAACCGTTGTTTCTTTCGGGATGGGCCTGTAAGTGACTGGGGTTCGCGATGACAGGCTTTGGATGATTGGGTGCGAGCTAGAGAATACCAGCGGGCTGCACTGGCGGGCGCATTCAGCCAGCCTGTGCAGACAGCATGGCTTCACCGGCTGGCTATATGCGACGGCGTGGTCTGCCAATGGTGTATGGGCAAGCTGATGTCTGCCCCTGATTTATTGGCAAGGCCTTGTGGATGTAGCCATACTTTAGACCCAAACAACGTTATGCTTCTTTGGCGTCTAATTAGTGTTGACTTACTCGGTCGCGCTTCAGAGCGCGGCTGTTACCTGCAAGGCTACAGTCCTAATGATTCTGAATTCAGCTCTGGCAAACTGCCCAACTTAAGAAGCTCGACCCAATTGTTACGCTTTTGAGAAGCTATTTTCTTCGCATCCACGAACTGTGGGCTCATGCGGCCAGGAGCGGATCCAAGATTTCGCCAACGGTGATGCCACGCTTTATCGTGGTGAGCTCTGAATTTTGGTACACCATGAGAATAAAGGTTTGGAGCCCATAGTGGGGCGCCTGGACTTAAGTACAGCTGAAAAATGAAGGTTTGGGAGCATTTGTGGTACTGCTAAAAATTGGTGCCTCTTCAAATCAAAGGTTACGTGGACCCGAAATGAGCACCTTAGAGTGCTCCTTCACCCTAAGATTTTGGTGCCTCTCCTGCTCAAGGGGGCGGAGGCCTGGCCACATGACCCTTCCCTCTAGATCCGCCTCTGCATGCAGCTTGATCAACAAGGCGAGCAGCTCTTTAAAGGCTGCGATGTGTGACTTGTTGAGCCTTTGCATACAAGCCGCATGACCCGGCCAGGACATTCTGCACCATTCGCGGCGTTTTGTCTGTCACGTTTAATTCACGCAAAAACGTATAGCCGCCAATTATTTCAGAGACGTTTAAAAAGAGATAGGGTCTTGATGACCTAGCGTCCCGCTGATGTGAGACCAAGGAGAAGTCTGACAACCGTGTCTGCAAAAGTGCGAATAAACCCGTCCAGACGGCCAGGCACTCTCGCGTGCAAAACCACGGATCCGCCTGCTAACGTGTTAAGGACGCGTTAAGGAGGGCGGCATATCTTAGCAACCAACACAGATGAAGACGTAAAGCCTCTGCACGGTGCAGCCAAATATGCGGAATGTCATGCTGCAGGCCTCGATTCCTTCCGACCCATCGTACTGGACCTACATTATTCGTGGACCCCTGGTGTCAGACTCATGACGTAAGAAATCGACCAGGCGGCCAACAGCAGTCTTTCCGAAACCGATCTTTAATACGCGAATCTGTGGTGTAGATAAAAAATACTTGGCAATGACGTTACATAGGTGAGTAGCCCTGTTTATTGCCCCGAATATCTCCCAAGGCATTTATGTTTTTTACGTCAGTTTGACACTGATTGCCGAAATAATAAGGGACTGCAAAACCATCGATATCTGTGAGTGAAACTGCCAAGTCTTGCCAGACTCACATTCAGCAAATTTTTGGCAGTGTTGGTAGTAAATTAACGCGTTAGTGCTACAACATTGAACCTCCAGCTTGTGGAGTTATCCTGAAAGAACGAACTTCCAAGGCATTGGTCAAACCCATTAGTATGGATGGTTCACTAGATATCTGGCTCACCTGGTTTAGTTTTTGCCATCATCTACTGCATGGCAACTGATAGCCACCGTCCCGTCATTGTCTCGCTCGTCACACGTTTCACGGGCCGCCTTACTGATTCATACGAGCACTCACCAGGGAAAGAGCCACTGTTATGGTCTCCCAAATCAAGTCCGCATGTCCTTGCAGGCGTCTGCTATAGCTGTGGCATGAGGAATAGATGGAGTGCGTGGTCTTCTTTGGTGTTGAGGCCTAGGGCAGTTCCCGTACATGCTGCAGTACGGGTCTGAATGACGTTGAATGTGGTGGATGGTGTTGTAGGCGTGAATCGGATACATATGTGTGTACAGTGTACTTAACAGGGATCAGGTACACCTGACAAGGTCGGAAGGGACCGGGCCGCACGAAGCTTTGGTATGGTGCACATGCTCACAAGTAAGCATGCGATATTTTCAATAGATTTCTCAGGAATGTTTCGGGGCGGCCGAAGAAAGCAGGGAGACCGAGATAATCAGTGGGGTAAATTAAATCAACAAAAACACAATAAAATCACCAAAACATACAGCCACCCAGGGATAGTGGTGTGCTGGGAAAGATACCAGATAGGTAGGCTTAAAAGTCGCACAAGAAAGCCCGCTGAAGTTGTGGAATCTTCAAGCCATTGTCAAAAGGTAATTGTTTTGAAAACATTCCGAGAGTCACGCAGGATGAGTGAACCCAATTAAGCCATGACTCCCTGATGACAACAGGACATCACTTTATCCAAAAGAATCGCGTTTAAGCTCCAGTAGGTCATGAGACATGGATGAGTTCTCTAGGCAGTTGTTAACCTGCCACGGCAGACAGAAGCACACAACTGTGTTCACTCGTCGCTCACACGGATATTTACGTCGGAATTGAAAAGTTGGTCTGGGACAGGTTTGACGATGCGATTGTTATTTTGGAAGACTTCTACGGTTTTGAAGCATTTGACGCGTGATATGTTTAGGATTTAGTCCGCACTTTTTTAATGGATGTACTTCTAAGATCAGAGCTCACGCTAAACTGCGTTTTTTTGGCGAGCCCTGACCTCTACATCCCATCGTAAAATTCAGTGTTCGGTTTGTTGTATTCAGTTTGAATTAAGTGGTAAAATGGAGTTCAGTGGCGAAAAAATTGGCGTTAAATTCTGCCGTTACAAAGCTCAGTGGCGAAACTTTACTTGCAGCAATGCTCGGCACTGCTTGTTTTCCCTCTAACATCATCTGACCTTTAAGCGCAGCCGCTGTCACCGGCCACAAGCCATCCCAGTCAAAGGCAAATAGCAAACGCCTAAAGCGGCCCGAACCACAGATTAAGACCTTCGAGGCTTGAATTTGTCTCTGAGCAGCGAGGCAGAGATCCCTAATAGGCCGACAGCACGAATCAGACTGATGCCGGTTACAGCGTGTTATTTTAATTATTCACTATAAAGCTGTTTGTACGGTCGTTTCTATGCTTCTGTTCGCTAAATGGTTCCAATTTCTTGGCCGCAAATTGAAAGTTTTGCCTTCTGCTATACCTATCTCACGAGGTTACGCAACGAGTCCAAATTGTGCACCGTTTCGAGCCTGGTGTTCGTTTAACCTGATGAGCAAAGCATGTCATCGCCAACCGAGCGGGGCAGTCTAAGAAAGCAGCACTGTTACACCATCTGCCGAGTTGGGGGCTTCCCTCGCAGCACTCACATGAGGCGGCACGCGGCGCCAACAGCGGGAAAAATACTCACCGGCCGAGAGTTACGAAAAAACATCAGCTGCTTTACTGATGACCTTTATTGATGGTGATGATGATGATGACTTGACTGATGACTGAGCTGTGGCTTTACGCGCTCTCCATGGCAGCAGATGGCATTCGAGTTAGTGATTCGCTACGCGGAAGCATGCGCATCGGTTATAGCACGACCTTTAATGCGCGTGAACTTAAACGTATGTATTCTAATCAGCCGTTGCCAACAAGCCGGTTTCGTTAAAAACTAAACCCATGAGCTCAGTGTCGAAATGTTGACGCCGATGGGCCATATTTATATAGCTACCGTCCTTTTGGCACGTCGCGGGCCTAATTACCGTGCGTCACGAGGAGGCAGCAAATAAGTATACAAATAGTCTCATGGGATTCGTCCAATCGGAATTTGGCCGGTTCCGCCACCACTCGTTTTTAGATTTCGGAGTTTCTGCCTTGCGATGAACGTATAAACTGTGCACTTTGTCTGCAAATTTTTATTTACAACAATAGGTTCACGTTGTCTTGCCGTACGTGATTCATTAAACATCACCAACAGTACCACAAAGTAGGTGTATGTTTGAGTGACACATTTGAAAACTACCACATAAACGCAGCAAAAGCTTGGCGAAACCCCGCGCCGGAAAAACCACCCACGCTACCAAACCCCGACGAAAGACAAGTCCCGAAAGCACAGGGCAAAGCACGCGGAGGAGCTGCACGACCTCGAGGTATGACGCTGTACGGGCGGAGAGAAGGCGACCAAAGCGGGGCGCCTGTGACGGCCGGCACTAGGTGCGAACTCTGCGGCACGCGCCGCCCTGACCTGCCAGTCCGTTGCTGGCGTCCACCCACTGGCCGTCCTGGCAGACGCGGCTGGTGCACTCGTCCACTTCGATGCTCCGGCCCGGCGGGAACAGGTCCTTGCCCTGCTCGCAGCCTGAGGGGACGCGCGGAGACGCGGTTAGGTTCTCCGCACCGTCTGAGAACAGGTTATGCAGACTCCGCAGCAGCAGAAGCAGACTCTGCAGCCAATCCGCAAAGTGTGAACGGACCTTCGCAATCTGAGATCAAACGATGTATCACCGGCTAGGTCCACACCAAGGTCCGAGATCATATGGCGTATCACCGGCTAGATCCACACCACAGTCCGAGATCACGTGACATATCACCGGCCAGGTCCACACCCCAGTCCGAGATCATGTGTCGTATCACCGGCCAGGTCCACACCAAGGTCCGAGATCATATGGCGTATCACCGGTTAGGTCCACACCACGCTCCGAGATCATATGGTGTAACACCAGCTAGGTCCACACCACGGTCCGAGATCATATGGTGTATCACCGGCTAGGTCCACACCACGGTCCGAGATCATATGGCGTATCACCGGCTAGGTCCACACAAAGGTCCGCGATCGTATGGCGTATCACCGGCTAGGTCCACACCACGGTCCGAGATCATACGCCGTATAACCGGCTAGGTCCACACGACGGTCCGGGATCATGCATCGTATCATATGCTAGGTCCACCACGGTCTGAAGGACACGCAATGTCTAGCCCCACGCTCAAATCGCGCATGCCTGCTTACATCTAACGCTACCCACCGTGAGATCGTCAGCTCACCTACGACAGACCCCGAGTCTGTCATTCTACTCACATCCAACCATGTCCAGGTACTCGAGTACTGTTTCTGGCCCGTTTCCGGCGTCATTGCAGCGGACAAACATACATTTGTAAGCCAGCTTGTCCATCTCTGAGTTCGGGGCGAACAGCTTCCCTTTGTACATGCAACCTGCCGGCACACACAACGGGCCTCCAGCATTCGGTGGGGGGGGGGGGGGGGGTCGGCGCAGTCCGTCATGGCCGGTCCAATCGCGGTGGAAAACAGAAACGAATGGTTCAAAGCTAATGCTCATTACATGGGTCGTATCAATGCACGAAAACCTCGGTCGGCAGGGAATGTTCGCACTTGGAGAAAAGCGTGAAATCGCCTCGCCAACGCGACTTTGATCGCAGTTCACGCCACTCGAATGACGGAACCATCTTCTCTCAATCGGCGTTTACAGAGCACTGTTGCGGTCCTCACAGAGCGCTATACCGGTCCTTGCAGAGCGTTGCATCGGTCCTTACAGAGCGCTGTATGGATCAATACGGAGCGCTGTACTGGTCTTTACAGAGCACTGTATCGGTCCTCACAGAGCGCTGTATCGGTCCTCGCAGAGCGCTGTACCGGTCCTCACAGAGCGCTATACCGGTCCTTACAGAGCGTTGCATCGGTCCTTACAGAGCGCTGTATCGATCAATACAGAGCGCTGTACTGGTCTTTACAGAGCGCTGTATCGATCCTCACAGAGCGCTGTATCGGTCCGTGCGGAGCGCTGCACCGGTCCTTGCAGAACACTGTATCGGCCCTCACGGAGCGGTGTCTACACTTGTGCTATGCACCAGGAGGCACTGAACAGGCAGACAGCGCACAGCCCGCTCGCACGCGTAGGAGAGCACCATCCATCCCCTGGTCTGGCAGGCAGTAAAGGCCTGGCCAGGGATGTCCCCGTAGCTTGATGAACAGATGAACCCTGCGATCGTTCGCGGTCCGCCAAGCAACGACAGATCTGCAATCGTCCGCGGTCCGCCAAGCAATGACAGACCTGCAATCATCCGCGGTCCGCCAAGCAGCGAACGGTCGGCCAGCGACTCACCTCGCAACTTACCGAGCAGTGAAGCCGCTGACTGTGACTCACCGTGGCTTGGTAAGCAATGAGGGCTTGGCCTACCATTGCGGCCTTGTGGCTATTAAACGCTACGAGCTTGGCCAACGATTTTCTATGTGGCTTTGCAAGCAGTAATGGTGTGGCCAGCGTCTCACCTTAAGGTCTGTGAAGCCGGAGAGGCTTGGCTTGCGGTGCAGAATTGGCCTATTGCTTGGCAAGAAGAGGGCACAGCCTACGACCAAGCCAACCAAGCGGTCGAGAAGCAGCGGAGCAGTAATCAGAGACCCACCCTATGGCTCGGCAAGCAGTGAAGGCGTGGCCGGCGACTCGTTCAACGACATGGCAAACAGTAATAGACTGGTCCGCAAGATGCCCGCAGCTTGTCAAGCAGCAAATGCTTGGACAACGATTTACATTCACGCTGCGACATGACCAGCAGTAAAGGACCTTCCAGAGACTCACCCTGCGGCTTGTCAAGCAGTAAAGGACCGGCCGGGGACTCACCCTGCGGCTTGTCAAGCAGTAAAGGATCGACCGGAGACTCACCCTGCGGCTTGTCAAGCAGTAAAGGACCGGCCAGAGACTCACTCAGTGGCTTGCCAAGCAGTAAAGGATCGGCCGTAGACCAACCCTGCGGCTTTCCAAGCAGTAAAGGACCGGCCAGGGACTCACCCTGCGGCTTGTCTAGCAGTAAGGGATCGGCCGTAGACTCACCCTGCGGCTTGCCAAGCAGTAAAGGACCGGCGAAAGACTCACCCTGCGGCTTGTCAAGCAGTAAAGGACCGGCCAGGGACTCACCCTGCGGCTTGTCAAGCAGTAAAGGATCGGCCAGAGACTCACCCTGCGGCTTGTCTAGCAGTAAAGGATCGGCCGTAGACTCACCCTGCGGCTTGCCAAGCAGTAAAGGACCGGCCAGAGACCCACCCTGCGGCTTGTCTAGCAGTAAAGGATCGGCCGTAGACTCACGCTGCGGCTTGTTAAGCAGTAAAGGACCGGCGAAAGACTCACCCTGCGGCTTGCCAAGCAGTAAAGGACCGGCCAGAGGCTCACCCTGCGGCTTGTCAAGCAGTAAAGGATCGGCCGTAGACTCACCCTGCGGCTTGTCAAGCAGTAAAGGATCGGCCGGAGACTCACCCTGCGGCTTGCCAAGCAATAAAGGACCGGCCAGAGACTCACCCTGCGGCTTGCCAAGCAGTAAAGGATCGGCGAAAGACTCACCCTGCGGCCTGCCAAGCAGAAAACGACGGGCCAGAGACTCACTCTGCGGCTTGCCAAGCATTGAATGCCTGGCAGCAGACTCACCCGCTGGCTTGGGTGGCTCTGGAGGCTCGTCGCAGAACGGACACATGCCGAACTGGGAGCAGCAGCGCCTGTACCCCAGCTCATCCCCGCTGTACTTCAGCGGGCAGCACTGAGCCTCCGCCAGTGCGTCCGTGTCTGCCGGTCACGCCTCACGTCGGAGATGGGGAACAGCACGGCCGGGAGAACAGCTCCCGGTGGACAGCACGGCCGGGAGAACAGCTCCCGGTGAACAGCACGGCCGGGAGAACAGCTCCCGGTGGGCAGCACGGCAGGGAGAACAGCTCCCGGTGGGCAGCACGGCTAGGAGAACCAGAACAGCTCCAGGTGGGCAGCACGGCCAAAAGAACGGCTTCCGGGAGGCAGCCCAGCCGAGAGAACAGTTCCCGGTGGACAGCACGGTCAGGAAAATAGCTCCCGGTGGGCAGCACGGTCAGGAGAACAGCTCCTGGAGCGGCCGAGGAGCCCAGGAGAGTCTGGTCCACTCAGCGTTGGTAAAGTGTCTTTGGCATACTGATGCGAGGATGTGTGAGGCCCATTGTCAAGCCTTGCATTGGTGGTACACTGGGCGTAACCGTGACTTAAACTGGACTCCGGCCAAAAGTTTACTCATCATGTAATCACTGAGAAGGATTTCAGCATCCGCCATATCATTGTTTAAGTACAAGCGCATAGTCTTCCAAAACGAGCTTCGAGCGTCGAGCAGTGAAAAATGAAGCAATCTATCCTAAAAATGTGCCAACAAACGGGTTTATGCTTGGCTTCGGCCCCATTTCTCAAAGAAGTCCAGGAGGACCATACCCCTGTTTAGGTGTTCCTAAGTGACCACTGCTCGTAATTGTCGCACAATGATCTAGGTCACTGCCCTGCCGCTCCAGCTCACCAGCCTCGCAGATGGGACAGAAGCCGAACTCCTGGCAGCAGTTGTTGAAGTGGATGAGGTCTCCACCCTGCTGATATTGGCAGCATTCCTGAGCCTGCTGCAGCGCTAGTCGGCTTGGACCGCCTGAGGGGACACGGAGAGAGAGCATCAGCGCTACGGTGCGGATGAACTGTCTGATGATGATGATGTCTGAGGGTTTTGCGAGCGTATCGGTTGCTGAGGTCATTTTGCGCTCGACGGCGAGCTGCCTGCACGTGACTGTCAACAAGACGCGATGAGGAAGGCTTCAGACCTGGTATTTCCGGAACCGCTTGAGAGCAAGACTCTGCCAACTATCGGTGTCCCGACCGAGGTCACTACTCATTGGAAGTGAGTCCTTGGTCACCAACTCAGCATGGGTCAAAGCCGGCGGTTGAACCCTCGGCCGAGTTCAAAGGGGCATCGGCTACTCAGCAGGTGTGAGGAAGGGGTCAGTTCCGAAGAAGAGGTTAGGGTGGGATTAGTTGCCGACCAGAAGTGGGAGAAGGGTCAGTTATTCACCCGAGCCCAGTCTTCATGGGCACCGTACCTACCTGAGGCTGCTACCTAGACGTCATGACGACGACTACGCCGTACACAAATGACTAATCCAAGGCATTGGAACTGCTGTGACGCAGTTAACTGCAATGTCATCGGTTGCAATCTTCTGGAAGCGTTTGGTAACGGGACACAGATGTCGGAAATGGTCTGGTGCTGACCAGATATTGAAAGGGGTCCGCTTACTGACGAGAGGTCGGGGAGGGGTCAACTACTGACCAGATGAGCTGTCAGGCATCGGCACAGCGAGGTCTCAGCCACTGGCCAGAGTTGGGGGGGGGGGGAGGGGGGGGGGGGAATCAGTTACTGGCCGGGAGACGGCAAGAGCAAGCTGCTGGCCACTGGTTCGGGGGGAGGGGTGAGCTAACCAGCAAAGACTAGGAGCGATAATTTGCCGTCCGAGGACGGAGCGGGGTGAGCTACTAACCAGCGGTGGAAGAGGAGCCAGCTACTGACCTGAGCTCGCTCCGAGGTTCGGCTGAGGGCACCTCGTGTTCCGACGCGCCTGACGACATTGCCGCCGCTGCTGACCTCGGTACTGTGAGCAGTCGATGTTGCCAAATTCACTGTCCGCAAAACAAGACACGCACGGCAGGTTAGCTTTATGAAAACCATGCGGCTGCCACGAAGCTCGCAAGCAAAAGTGCTCCAGCGTGTTTGCTACTGCTTGTTTTCGATGGAGAATATAGCCGTGGCTTCGTGTCACTTTTTCTGTTTGTTTTTTTTTTTTGGCTGGGGGAGGGGGCTTCAGAGAGCATAGGTAGCATGTAAAGCGAATGGCCAGCTGCTTTGTTTAATTGCTGCAGGTAGTAAAGACATTTTTATTATTCTGGTGTACTTTTCGATTTGCCTCTTAGTGCATCGTGCCATATCAACGATATGTTTTTGTTCAGGTTTCCAACGTCTCCGGTGTGTATTCGCACGCCAGAACATTTTTCAGGCAATGCAACTGTTGGGCCAAATTCGTTTTACGTAGAAACTAAATATGTGATTTGTGCGTCAATGATCACTGAAGGTTGCCATGACACCGTGTTTGCGTCATTGGGGCTTTACGACGCACTCGGCTGCTGAGGTTATATGGCGTCGCCTGCATCTCACCCTGGCAGGAAGGGTGGGCGCCGCGGAGAATCGAACCCCGTACCTCTCGTTTCCCAGACGCGCAGTAGTTAACGCGACCACGTTAACCACTACACTCCCGGCAGACCCGTTGCCAAGACACTGCTGAAATCACGAGGAGCATACATTTTTCGACCTCCAGTTCAATACAAGATGCGAAAGTAAAAAATCGGTGTAGCATCGGTCTGCAACGCTTTGGTTTCCCCACCATGCCCAGTGAGCTCACTTGGCGGCGAAGGGGGGCGGCTCTGGCCTGCCCCCAGACGCCACGCGGTTCCCTCGGCGAGACCACAGGCACCGGCGCCGCTGCCGCCCTCGCAGCTGAGAGCAGTCCACCACCGGGCTGCCGGGTCACATGTCAAGGTCACACAAGGGCCCGCGGTCGGCCGATCGGGCCATGGGGTGACAGCCAGCAGGCTGGCTGGCTGGCAGGCTGCACTCGATCGCCATGCTCCATGAGCTCGCTCTCAGTTGTTTACCCACTTCCGTCTTTTGCTGCTCTCCGCCGTCGTACATGTCATGCTTACTGCGATCTTGTGTCACACGGTCGATGTCTTTCGTCTTTCATGCTCTCCCGCACGCCTTTCAGCACTCTCTCGCTGTTCGGACATCGCGCGAGCACTCTCTCGCTGTTCGGACAGCACGCGAGCACTCTCTCGTTGCTCGGACACCACCTAACTGCACGCCTTTCAGCACTCTCTCGCTGCTCGGACATAACGCGAGCACTCTCTCTCGCTGCTCGGACACCACCCAACCGCACGCCATTTTCCAGTCCCCGTCGTCTATTCCACCATCTCGCGAGCACATCTCAGTTGGAAATGCCCAGTCCACGCTCCGTCCTATGTGTGACTGCAGCTCGACTGCCCAGAACCTGGGATATGCCATCGGGACCAGAAGCGTGGCCAAGGAGATGGCTTTTGGGGCATGCCCCCGCTCCCTACCCTGGAGCTGGTGGGGTGATGGCACGAAAACTACTGGGGTCAAAGGGCCTGGTACTTTTTAGTCGTTCCGGGTGCTCGTAGAGGTTAAAGACATCAAAAAAGGTCGCTGAGGCATGAAAAGGGGGTTACGAGCCCCCCAAATCGGTCGAATGCCAAAACACGGCTCCTATGGCGACGCAGTGAGTCCTTGCCTAAAAGGGTCTTGATTTGACCCCCTATATGCCCCGATTTGACTTCCTCCTGGGCGATAGTCAGGTTTGTGGTTTTTAGGTTTATAGGTTTAGGTTTTTAGGTTTAGGTTTTTAGGTTTAGGTTTTTAGGTTTAGGTTTTTAGGTTTAGGTTTTTAGGTTTAGATTTTAGGTTTAGGTTTTTAGGTTTAGGTTTTTAGGTTTAGGTTTTTAGGTTTAGGTTTTTAGGTTTAGGTTTTTAGGTTTAGGTTTTTAGGTTTAGGTTTTTAGGTTTAGGTTTTTAGGTTTAGGTTTTTAGGTTTAGGTTTTAGGTTTAGGTTTTTGGGTTTAGGTTTTTAGGTTTAGGTTTTTAGGTTTAGGTTTTTAGGTTTAGGTTTAGGTTTATAGGCTTTTGCCTGGCTATTACCCTTTTTCCCTGCGTTTCGATTCACTGCTGCCACAAAGCTGCAATTCAAAGGGGACACAATAGTAAAGGAGGGCCCTTTCATCCCTCCCGCCCTTCCCCAAATTTGTATGGCCTTCTGTCAATCAAATAAGCTACAATAAATGCAAACGGCTCATCACAGATTATGCAGTGCGCGGCATTTCGCCTTACATCTGGAGACGTCAAGAAATTGGGAAAAAGCAAGGGGCGTATTTTTACACATTTGTCCCACGCAACCGTAGCCGTGCAATGGTGTATTGTTTGCAACGCGTGCCGCGTAGCCAGCAGCCGTTGCTCTTTAAACTTACGTGACGGGGCTGTCCATGTAATCACTGACTACATCATACTCCTGAAACAGACAAAATCAGTGTAATGAAGCTGATTTTCCTGATGAATAAATGAGGTTTGTTTTTTGGACCGAATTAGAACTGACATATTTGCACCGTTTTCACGCGACTGGGGATCCCTGTCCAGCTTATGGCCCAGTTGACGTCTGTCTGCGGTCGCCTGAATAAGTGCACTCAGGGGCTTAAAAAAATACGTGCAGTGTGCACCAAAAGTGTCTAAGAACTAACCGGGTGACAGGCACCAGAACCCCGCCCCCTCCCTCCCACCCCGAGCCAACTCAGCAATTCCGGTTTCGAAGCGCGGAGAACGCGCCGTGACCCGCTCACGGCCCGCGAACTCAAGGCGCCCCGCCACGAGACCGAGGGAGGGGGGGGGGGGTCACCCACCAGGTAATCCGTCGTCACAGTCTGATGCTGCGGTGGAGGGGCTGGTGCTGCGAATCGCTTCTGGTCATCGTCGCCCGACTTGATGGTGTTCAGGAGACTGCTGGCCACAGAGCCGAGTTTCTTCAGGCCTGGGGACGACAGCAGCGACGGTGAGCGATGCTGGTGGCGGTGCTGGTGGCGGCGCTGGTGGCGGTGCTGATGGCGGCGTTGCGCTGCTTCGTCAGGCGTTCGGTGCGATCGCCGTAGATAACTACGACGATTAAAATCGAGGTTATCGTCAAGGGGTGTGTGGGGGGGGGGGGAGGGGCAGGGGCGATGTTGGGCAGCCTGCCCCCAGCCTTACAGTGAGGATCACCAAAATAGGGGATTCTTCCTTAACCCCAATATTCGAAGCATTGTTGAAAAAACAATGTTATCAGGCAGGCTTAGTAAAGAAGGCATAAAGGTGGGCATAAAGAGCGGTTTATGGAGGAACTTGACTATTGACCATATATCGATTCTCAAGACATTGTGCAAGGCTATGCCAATGCATTATGGCAGCAACACATCATTTTAAAACAAGCGTAGAGTATCGGGATCCACTGCAATCTTGCCACATAAGTTTGCAAAATAATTACGTGTTCGCGCGGAGGACTTCTGCGCACCCTGGCAACGCTAGCCTACAGTGACCTTGAACATTATGGATCATATTGCTCTGATAATCCTGAAAGAATGGGTCAAAGCAATGCGGGATATTTGGACAAAGGACCGAACGGAAAAGGGCGAATGGAAAAGAGTCGAACAAAAAAACGAGCCTCAAAAAGCCAGCGGGGGTTAAAGTTGAATCAGAAAAGTCGGAGGATAAAAGGTGAAAAAGGTGGAGGTCGACAGGAATGAATGTGAGGCGTACCGGGAAGGGTCGAAGGACAAAGAAACAACAGTGATAAATGGTAGAAAGGGATGAAAGTGCAATCAGTAAGAGTAAAGAAATAGTAATGTCGATAGGGACTGAAACAGACACTTCGACGCTGGGATCCAAAGCACCAGGGGCAAACATGAACCAGGACTTGATGTTTGTACAATAACTGGTGGGAACCAGGGTACGGGGGTCTGGTGTTTATGGAAAGCTGAGGGAACCAGGAATTAGGTCCTGGTGCTTCTGAAGGGAACAGTGCGGATCAGGAAGAGAGTCCATGTTTTTAGTTGCCAAATAACCAGTGAGAACAAGGAGTCAGGACAGCCCATGACATCCAGAAAATAGGAGGCGAGGTTTATGAAATAACCAGCCAAACCAAGCCTCCAAAATCTCGTTATCAGAGCGGGAAGTGGGAAATCAGGAATCAACATTGGTAACTACGCACGTGCCTGTGCAGCACCAGGACTAACGAAAAACGGAATTCACGTCAGGCGCCGCCGCCGTACGCCGCGTCCTGCCGTGAACGCCTGTGCTGCTCGCAACCGACCCACATAATGGCTAGGGAAGGCATTTTCATCGCGATAGGTAGAGGCTATCGGGATAGATAGAGGCTATCGGGGCTCCCTAGCAGATCGTCCATCTGATAACACAAGGGCGTGATTCGCATGGCTTGGTTATGAAGGGTAGAAGGGTAGAAGGCTGTCAGAAGGCTTTCCTGTCAGAAGCGTTTACGGGGTTAGCACGGAAGAGCCCGAACTAGAGGACCCGGTGTCATATATGTCATGTAGGTTGTAATAAAATGTTGTGATATGTTCGATGTGTAATGTGTAATATGTCCTTTCGCACGCATATCATCACGTTCAGCACAAGCTGATAGGATTCTGGCCATCCACTTGCCTGCCAGGCCAACAGTAGAATCCATGCCGCTTCGTCATCAAGACAGCGATGGAGAAACGCATTGAACCTACTGTCGTACACGGGATCACATCTGATTTCATGTCGGGTGTTCAATCATTTCGCTTTTTTCTGTCTCCAGTCGTCTTGGCTACCTGCTTACTTAATTTTATTCCAATCGACGTTTTTCACGTCAAATTTTATCTATATCTTGTTTTCTGACCTTACTTTTGTCCTTTAGTTCTCTTATCCCCTCACGACTTTGTCCGATTGGAGCTGTACTTCTGTTGACTTTTTTCATTCGAAGTGTTTTCCAATCTGATGCCGCTCTCTGCTTTTATCCCTTCGACTTCAATTTCTTTCGACTATTTCCGTTCCCTTTTTCCACTCGTTCCTTTATTGAACTCTGTCCCGGAACCCAGTGTTTGGTACCCGACGAAGGATATCGGTTCTGCTACGTCGTGATGAATGAAATCCTTGTTGGATTGTTGCAGCAGAGAGAGCAGTTTCCAGAAAAAAAATCATCAGCCGCAATTTTTACATTTGTATCATAAGAATAATGTCTTTACGTACCCAGCCATTTTCACCCACACATGCTCCAGGTCAACTGCATTGCCCCTCCAGGTATTGTATCAGAACTATGGTCCGACCTTTACCACGGCTCTCACATGGATGTTTATGCCAGCGTAAACATGCAGTGTATGCCATGACACATAAACATCACAGACCTGTTCCGGGAAGTTCCACAGAGTTGGTGTGTAAAAAAGGCACATGCTGTTTCTATACCCTTGTTAAATGCATCACTGTGGGAGAAAATAGCATGCACAATGATCATTTTACCACGTCATTGTTTGCGAGACAGAAAGCGGCCAAGGAGTCTTCGATGGCGCGTCAGGCATACGCGACATTACAACATACTGCCTTGCGGCGTAAAATGTTATCATATGTACTTTCGCAAACATGTTATTACGTTCACCACATGCCATTAGGACTATGGTGATCCGTTTGCCTGCCAGGCCAAAAGTATAATCTATGCCGCTCCGTTATCAAGATCGCCGAAGCTACCTGGTATTCCAAAAAATCGTCCAGATACCCCGTCTTCCCCGGGGTCCACTAGATCTTCGTCAGGATCAATGATTTCGGGTTCCGCTGTGCTTGGCGGCCCGGTGACCTCCGCAAGTGGGGGGTCCTCGGGAAACTCGAATTCTGGAAAACAGATGAAGATGTTTGAAGGAGAGTTGAAAATTCCCCTGGCTACATTTTCGTCGATGGAAACCGATGCAGAAAAAATGATACACGTCTGATGTGTGCATGCCATATACATGCGTCACACGCGTTATATGTATACCTACAAACATATCACGTGTGCATAACACATACATGCACACCAGTTGTACATACATGTGCAGTTTTGCGGAAGGGTGGATGGTGTAACGCAGCGCGTTTCTGTTCCATTTGCTTCTCTCGCTTGTGGGTGATTGACAATATTTAACACACGTTCGGGGGGGGGTTCAATTTGACCCCCCCCCCCAACCCGAAGGTTTTCCAAAATGGTTTCCGGACGGCGCTGTGAACCCGCGCCAAATTTTACATAGCTGTAGACAATTGAATACGGATTGTTGGTTTCAAAAATTTGGATGTACCTTTTAAGGTCACTGATCTATCTAGGTCAAAGCCAGGCCATGAATTCAGTGAAGACGATTTCTTGGGAAACCTTTAATCTGATCCAAAGACCTTATGTTAGAAGCTACACATTTCTGAGATGTTTTTTTTTAGGTAGCATAACAATAGAATGAACAAGTCTACTGACCTAGGGCCAGGTATGAAGGTCCGACCTAGGTCAGAAACAACCTGTTTTATTTCTCTAGACTATTTACACAAGACCATTTCATTATTCTATTACTCTGTGTGGGGTGCTTCCGGCACTCGTTTCAAATTTATTGATAACAGCAACTGCATTGCAATCTTCTAGAGACTTCTTAAGAGTCAGGATGGGTCACTAATCTTAAATGAATCGGGTCAACATTTTGTTCTTAGGAGCATACTGCCTAGCGTAATCTTTGACGCTTATTCGAATGCAAAACTCAAAGCAGTCTTGTATGGTTCTGGCAACATGACCTCCGAAAGATCGAACAAGGTCAATGACCTTAAATGAGCACCAGTGATCTTTTGCTTGGAATTGATATCTAGGTTCTGGGGCACCTTGAACACCAATCTGGAGTTTGATCCTGTTTGACTTTATTTGACCCGAAGCCTAGGCCTCGAGTCTGAGCTCGGGTTAGGTCATGGCCTGGGAACCCGAATTTGGGCACAAGTAAGGTCACGTACAGGCCAACGCATCCTGTGAATTTGGTGTTCTTAGCTCTTTTAGTTTCTGAGATCTCAGGAGACTGGTCAAATTGACTCCCACTCGAGTGTAGGGTATTCAGCAAGCAACCCGGCCGCGCGTGTTAACAAACGTTATGTCCAATACTAGAAAACGCTCCGGCAGCCATTTTGGGCCGTTGCGTGGCGACACCAGTCCGGTAAACTTCGATGTTATTCAGGGGTAAAATTGTGGTTTCGGTTGACGGGGCTGGCCACTGGGAGTAGACCTTCCCATCGCATCACTATTCTCGAAAACAGGCAAGTTAATGAAATGAATGTAACTAAAACGCGATTAGCTGTTATGCTTATTCTACTGCTAATGATGTGATTGACGATGCGACGATAGTAATGCAATTCGTGATGTGGCGTGATCCTTTGGCTCCAAGAAGAGGGTGTTGCTTAGGTTAACTTTGGTTAGGTCAGGTGTGGTCAGGTTAGGTGTGGTTGGGGGAGGTCATGCTAGGATGGGATGGGTTAGGTTACGTTAAGTTGCTTTAGGTAAGATTAGGTTAGGTTAGGTTAGGTTAGCCTAGACAAGGTCAGGTTATGTCAGGTCTGATTAAGTCAGGTTAGATGAGGTTGGGTTAGGTTAGGGTAAACCGGGTTGGTTGATGACAGTGCACTTGAGCTTCAATGCGGTAGTTGCCATGCGTGCGTCTACGTGGAGGGCCTGGGTTCAATTCTCGACTCATGCCGCGGTCTTTGCGCGCGCGAGTTTCGTTGGACGATGGTCGTCGTTTTGTTATTGTCTAAGACTCAGTCACCTTACGCGTCCTTGACCTGATACAATGTGCGCTCGTTCACAGAGCTGCGACGAATAGAGTGCCGCATTAGGGCAGACATTTCTTTCTCTGCTCTGTCCTTATGCCGTGGCATTGAGAGCGTCGAGTGCGGCATTAATTTGAGGTGAGCACCGACGAGAGACGTTACTTCCCGGGAGCGGTGACGCCTGTAGGGGAGCGGCTCTCACCTGGGAGGGAGCGGTGCTCACCTGCCGGAGAGCGGCTCTCACCTGTGAGGGAGCGGTGCTCACCTGTCGGGGAGCGGCTTCCGCCCGTCTGGAAGCGCCTCTCTCACCTGAGGTGGCTGTCGCCAGCAGCAGCAGCACGAGCAGTCGCTCCATGGCTAACCAGCACCGATTCGGAGCTACGGGGACGGCGGACAGCGGCCGGCGGCGCCCGGGGCGGCGGACTGAGCGCTGCTGCCGCCGCTGGCGGTAAACACAGCGCGAGCAGACGCCGCGCCGTGGAAATACCAGCCGCCCCGGCCAGCAGCGGCGTGTGTTTGAGGTCGTCGAAGAAAGAAACACTGTCGCAGGACGCCGCACGCAGGAGCACGGTCGAATCTCGGCCAGAGAGACACCGGTGACCCAGCGGCCGCAGCGACGCTGCGTGCAGCGACGCCCGAGGAGTGCCGGTCGCGCGGCTAACCAGGCAGCTGGCGGGCCGACACAACGACCAGGAACCGACTGCACGCCTGTGAGCTTTGCTGGTGTGGGCCTGGCCGTGACTAGCTGGCCTGTCCAGATGTTGAGAAACCTTGTCGGGATTCCGTGATCAGCTGGCCTGTCCAGACGTTGAGAAACCATGTCGGGATTCCGTGACCAGCTGGCCTGTCCAGACGTTGAGAGACTATGTCTGATTTAAATTTAGAAAGACACCACGCGCTGGCGGTTAAAACAACATCGTTGAGCTCAGGCTTACATAGCGCTATTTTTTCCTTCCAACTGTTTAGCGTTCCGTGAGTTGCTCAATGCGAGTAGCAGTTCTTCACACAATCTCCAAACATCGCTAGGCCTATTTTACACTACGCCACTTCCAATTATCACAAACCGTGCACGTGTGTGCGTGTGCTCCGCATGGTTTGTGTGCTCTGTGTTCTGTGCGTTCTGCGTGCTTTGTGTGCTCGATGTGTTCTGTGTGCTTTGTGTGCTCTGTGTGCGCTGTGTTTTCTGTGTCTTAGTGTGTTCTGGTCGTAGTGTAAGCCAGCCCCGTTTTTAGGTCATAAGACCTATGGGTGCGGCCAGTCCCCGTACGCAGTCGCGTGGGACGCTTCAAAAACCGAATGGGTCAAGCCTCTTTCAAAGCAACTTCTCGCCATGCGTTACAATAACCTCGTTGGCAAAATTGCGCGCAGAATGAAGGCGCAGTCCGTTGGCCTCCCTGCTCGTACGCCTATGCCCAGGCGCCACGTCAACCATCAGCGCAGTCGAAAAGCCGGTGTAAACAGCGTCACGCCTATGTAAACAGTGAGGGGCGCCATCGACCGGGGAAGCGCACAGGCCTCGCTCTGTCATACCCAGTAACTCGGTAAGCTGCTTTCTCGGAAAAGGGCCACGTGAAAGCCGGCCGCTCGCCTGATGTGGTAATGTGTACGCCAGAGCCATGCAGCGGCATGCGTCCTTAAATTGCTGATACAAGCGAGCGAGTTTCTATTTCTGCACTCTGATGATTTGATAGGCGGGGATAGTTGCTGATGCCCAGATCGCGGCCAGATCGCCGGTGCGGTCAGATCGCAGGGGAGCAGCACCGGCGAACGCGCAGAGACTGGCGCATCGCGCAGAACCATCGCTCCCGAGTCTTCCACGGGTCGTACCGTTCCCGGCTGTGCCATATGGGAGCCGCCGGTACAGAACTGAAGGCTGCAATGCAGGCCGCCGGTAGTCGGAGCGAGCGTCCGCCGGTGGTCGGCGCGGAGGCCTGTCGGTGGCCGCGGCGAGGGTCCACCGTTGGTTGGAGTGAGGGTCCGCCGTTGGTTGGAGCGTGGGTCCGCCGGCGGTCGGAGCGAGGGTCCGCCGTTGGTTGGAGCGAGGATCCAACGGTAGCCGCAGCGAGGGTCCACCGGTGGTCGGAGCGAGGGTCAGCCGTTGGTTGGAGCGTGGGTCCGCCGGTGGCCGCAGCGAGGATCCGCCGGTGGCCACAGCGAGGGTCCGCCGTTGGTTGGAGCGAGGGTCCGCCGGTGGTCGGAGCGAGGGTCCGCCGTTGGTTGGAGCGTGTGTCCGCCGGTGGCCGCAGCGAGGGCCCGCCGGTGGTCGGAGCGAGGGTCCGCCGTTGGTTGGAGCGAGGGTCCGCCGTTTGACGGTTTAGGAGCGAGGGTCCGCCGTTGGTTGAAGCGAGGGTCCGCCGTTGTTGGAGCGTGGATCCGCCGGTGGCCGCAGCGAGGGCCCGCCGGTGGTCGGAGCGAGGGTCCGCCGTTGCTTGGAGCGAGGGTCCGCCGTTTGACGGTTTAGGAGCGAGGATCTCCCGGCGGTCGCAGCAGTTGAGGACATCCGTTTTGCGCGATCCACGCACCGTAAACGCCGGCTAACCTCCAAGCCAGGTTCAGGCCCTCGACTATGGGACGTGCCTTACCCGATACAATTTTTCGCGCGACTCTGGACGCGCGAAACTAGTGAGGCCGCCATTCCCGCGGTCCTCTCGGTCGCCGCCTCCCGGAGCAGAGGATGACGTCAGAGGCAGCTGGGGCAGCCAGAGTCCACATTGTCTTGACAGGTTTACGCTGCCGTTATGAACATTCATAAAGTCATTATACTGCCTTCCCGTTTTACCAGCTTTCATGAAAGTTGAAAGGTCATTCAGTTCTTTTTCCAGTAGTAAATATACACAATGCGTCCAGCTTTACTATCAAAATAGCTGCGCGATATCGGAAACATTACGGCATATGTATCTGTTATGTTCATCACAAGTTAAGACGCATGACCTTGGCAGCGGATGAGCCAGAGATGCTCCAGGCCCTCTAGGGGTGAGCTGTATCCCACTACTGCCTAACCTGTTGACGTCAAAAATAGCAAAAAAATGTATATCTATGGTCCTAATTTCCTACACATTATTTCATGACCTAAGGTGCGCGCTTTACTTTGCACGCGTGTCCGGGGTAACGACTCCCTAGCGTCATCGTACCACTCTGACGAAATATGCTGCCTTGCCTTCGCTGCCATGAATGCACTAGACACTACCTGCACCGTAAATCTGCCCATCACGTTTGTGACGCTCCGCTGCTTCTCCAACACTGGGCAGTGCGCGTGCCCAATGGATGGCATGATCTGAGTGTCCGTGCGCCAACTTCACGGACATTTGTTGAATTTCAGGTCCCCGGCTTTCCCGTTAGCGAATCCGTTTTCCCCGTTTTTCGGGATTTCCCATCGAGCTTCTAAGACATCAAAAACGGGTCCTTGTCGCATTACCTTACCTTACCATACCTTTTAGTGATCAGGAATGATAAAAGGCCACTTTGCCTGTCGGTCCCAGTCTCGTCAGGCTCCTGGTCCGGTAACCAAACAGTCTCAAATTATGGGAAGATTCAGTGTGGGATGTTGCACATGATGTGAGCCCAGTGCATATCAAGCCTAGACTTCAACCGTTCAACTGAACTTGACAACATCATCGGGTGTGGGGGGGGGGGGGGGGGGGTGTTTCAATCGTTGACGACCCGCGCGCTGAACGAGCTGCGGCGGACGAGAGTCCCAGCGCTAGTTTTTTTTTAAGCTTCCATTGGTGTTCTCTTGTCACCTCCGAGTTGTGTCTCATCAGGGACTCCTCTTCCAACAGCGACATACCTCCGTGAAACAGTTGACACACTGTAAACATGTCTCCCCTGCGACGACGGCAGTATAGCGGGGGCAACTGGAGAAGTCTGAGCCTCTCAGGGTATGGCCGGTGCCTCTTTTTGTGGACAAGACACATAGCTCGTCGCTGAGCTCTCTCCGGCCTCTCCTAGTTCAGTCTACCGAACTGGTCCCAAATGACCTTGCCGTACTCTAAGTACGGACTTACTAAGATCTTGCAGAGCGGTGGCAGCGTACGAGCATCCATGTTGGCAAACGAACACTTCACGACCACCAGCGTCTGGTCGGCCTTCGAGATCGCCTCCGCCGTCGGTACATGCAACTTGAGCCTATGATCCTCGAACACCCCGAAGTCCTTCTCAGCGGGCTCGACCGCAGTTTCAGCAGCGTTCAAGAAGTGGATGAATCTCGGGCTGCTGTTCCCGATATGCATTACTTTGCTCTTTGTTGCATTAAAGGGAAGCAGCCACTTCTCTGCCTATTTGGCCATGTCGTCGAGGTGGACCTGGAGAGGAAACCAAGACAGGGGCCTCGGTACACGACAGTTTATCTGGGTGTCATCCGCGAACATCTTTACCATGATTTGCACTTGATCTGGTAGGCCGTTCTCCAAGATTATGAACAGCGTTGGTCCCAGCTTTTAGCCTTGCGGAAGGACGCTGACGACGTAGATCACATTCGACTTTGAACCCTGGATCCACACTCTCTGCATCCGATGGGTAACGAAAGCCCTGATCCAGCGCACTAAGGCTTGGCTAAAGTGCGGGTCAAGTCCATCAAAATGGTATTCTAAGCCTAAAAGGCCTCCCAAAGCACGTCATAGGGCATCCTACTGAACTATAAGATTGAAAATGGTGATGTCAACCATTTACTCTTTATTGCAGCAATGGTTTGGCCCGTCATGCTAGATATCCATTCAAGACAGTACTTTACCGGCAGTCCTTTTTTGGATTCGCACATCGTGGTGTCAAAGTGACGCGTTAGAGGCGCTCAAGATATACGAGTAACCAAGCTGGGTGGGGGCGATCACATTTTTCGGGTATTTGTGGTTTTTCCATAAGCTACAGCATTGTTTTATAGATAGGGTGAGCTATATGATATATCACAGAGTTTGATGTGATAAATATATTTGTCAGTATTGGTGAATGCTAATTCATGCCTTGTTCTTATTTTGTGCAACGATATAATCCATCTCGCGGTGGTGAAGAGCTGTTTTAGTTTGTTAATTACTTGTGCTTATGCCGGTGCCTGATGGGGATTGGGGAAACTGGCTATGTAGTAGTACACTAGTTAATCTTTGTATAGGTTATGCTGTGTTGGATTGGATATCATTACATAATTTAATGAATGGTTTTAGACTACCAAAGACAAAATGCATAGGTATTCATACTTTATGTGAGCAAGATAGGCTTTTAGGTCCTTTTTGACATAAAATTTGACCGATTTGTCTGCAATCACTCCTAAATTCCCAGTCATTCCTACAATGACCATCCTTCAGTACATCAGAAGCAGGTATGGTTATAAAGCTAGGCTTCTGGTTTTACAGTTGAATCCAAGGCATGAATGAAAGGTGGTGGCCTAAGCACTTGGAACTACAAAATCAAAATACCTGGTTTAATATTTTTGAAGCAGTCAGATAAATCCATAATCTGTGGACTCAAGTTTTGTATGTGCAAGCTGAAGCTAAGCACTGTAGTTTTTGCACCATTGATGCTTGCCAAAAAAGTTACATAAGGAGTGTGGAGCCATATCCAGTGTAACCATGGCTTTCACAGATATTCAGATTGCACCAAAACCTGGTCCAAAAATTTTGATGCATATCCCAATTCTTGATGTATTAAGGAACATAAATAATTTTGGAAACAGTATTACCTAAATGTAATTTTCCACATGTGAAAATATATCTAAAGATATTCAAGTAAGCATCAGATTTGATGAAAGAAGCTTAGGTATAGCTATTTTTGTATTTTAAAAAGGAAAATACTGCTCTATACAGCACAATTAATCTGTTTAATAAATATGCTCCTTGATATATCACTTTGATTACATAATCATGCCTAGCACAGCATTTAATGAGAGCCAGATAATGGCTGTACTATCTGGAAATCATGTTCATCACTGCCAGATATGAACAACCCATAATTATTATTGACTTTCATCACTACATGGCCATTGGAATAGAAGGATTTGAATAACATTTTGGTAGCATGGGTGATTGGGTGACCTTGGAATAGGTTCCCCAAAAAGTGTCCACATCTTTGTGGGCATGTAGCTCAGATAAAACAGTAGTCTTAGCCTTCCTCAGAAAAACCAGGAGAATGGGGATAAAGTTTGTTTGATATTTTGGCAACATGCCTTTATTGAAACAAAAGCAGAAACATTGATAAAGGCACGTTGCCAAAGTATCAGTCAAACTATATCTCCATTTTCCTGTTTTTTTTTAGGAATAAGGCTTATACTACTGTCTTATCTATATAGATAATTTCCCTCATTTATGCACTGAACAACTTATGTAGCTCAGATACTTGAGGATTTAGGTCTTAACAAGGGTAGAGCTGTGAACTGCACTTAAGGGTCTTCAAGATGTTTATTTAAGTTCAAACTCCCCATACATATGTGAGACATTCCCATTAAACAGGACTCCAGAGTTTTCTTAAATGTACTGGTTTAAATGATTTGCACATCTTTTTGGTAAAATTAACATCTTAAGCACTGCATATCACCATTTAGTGAAATTTGATGTTGTGGCACATGCTGTTGCCATGGTTTTCTTTATTTTCATTAGAGTCATGTGATTTAAACCATGATTCAGATCCTATTCTCATTCATTAACAATTAGTGTCAGAATTAACCATTTTATTTGGCTGTAATTACCAATTGACTTAAATCAATAATGGAAAAAAGGTTTGATTGAACTTTTAATTTGTCTCCCAAGTGTTTGGAATCAAATCAGAATCAATTTGATTCATCTGGAGCTGCATCAGGCACAAGTCTGGTTTGGTCAGGCATAAGTCTGATTTGACTTCCATATTCTCAAAACTGGGGAAAGGACTACTGGTACATCCATTAACTTCCATTTACCAGAACTGGACATCTGGAAGCCAATAGCAATACAAGCGATCCCTTTTTTCTTGTGTGTCCCAGCACCAATGCATTCAGTCACATTGATTAAACAATAAGGATGCAGATACTGATAACTGTCAAAATACACACACTGATAACAAGCTTTCTATTAAATACCACACAACCTAAGTGATAATCTGAAGGTACCTCCAACACCAGATTGATTTTTCTGCCAGATTGTCTTGTCTTTTTTTGCCACTGCCTACATCTCCTTATGTTGTCATCACTGTGTGTGTGGTGGGGGGGGGGGGGGAGCGGTTGATGGCTGTGCAAATATCCGAGCATAGGTGAACACAGTCACAGCACATCAAAGCCCAGGTCGTCGCCGAACCGTCATACATAACCTCCACCGTGCCAACTCCGATTTCTGCTCCCCCTCCCCTTGCCCTGCACCCGCCTTGCCTCGCCTCGCCTCACGCCGCGCCACCAGGTTGCAGACCTGCGCCCGGTCGGCGGGCGGGAGGCGACGCCGGCACTATGTCCAAGCTGCTGAAGGTAGCGGCCGCCGGCGTGGGGTTCGCCTCCGCCTGGCTGTTGTACGACGCCAAGGCGCGGCGGCCGTCGCTGCTGGCCGCCTCGGCGCAGCGCCGCTTCCACGGGCCGCTGCCGACGCGACGCGAGCAGCTGGAGCGGCTGCGCGGTGAGCAGTTCGACGTGCTGGTGGTGGGCGGCGGCGCGACCGGCGCCGGCTGCGCGTTGGACGCGGCCAGCCGCGGCTTGCGCACGGCGCTGGTCGAGATGGACGACTTCGGCTCGGGCACGTCCAGCCGCAGCACCAAGCTGCTGCACGGCGGCGTGCGCTACCTGCAGAAGGCTATCATGAACGTCGATCTGGAGCAGTACCGGATGGTACGCGAGGCGCTGAACGAGCGCGCGAACCTGCTGGAGATCGCGCCGCACCTCTCCTACCCGCTGCCCATCATGCTGCCCGTCTACAAGTGGTGGCAGCTGCCGTACTTTTACGCCGGCATCAAGATGTACGATTTGGTGGCCGGCTCCAAATGTCTGAAGTCGTCCTACGTGCTGAGCAAACGGCGCGCGCTGGAGCTCTTCCCCATGCTGAAGAAGGATGCGCTGGTGGGCGCCATCGTCTACTACGACGGCCAGCACAACGACGCGCGCATGAACGTGGCCATCGCCATCACGGCGACGCGACTGGGCGCTAGCGTGGCCAACCACTGCCGCGCCGTCGAGCTGCTCAAGGGGCCGACCGGCGAGGACGGCGCCGCGCCGCGCGTGGTCGGCGCCGTCTGCGAGGACGCCCTCACCGGCGAGCGGTTTGCGGTGCGCGCGCGCTGCGTCATCAATGCCACGGGCCCGTTCACGGACTCGCTGCGGCAGATGGACGACGCGACGCTGCCGGCCATCTGCGCGCCATCGGCGGGCGTGCATGTGGTGCTGCCGGGCTACTACAGTCCGGACTGCATGGGCCTGCTGGACCCGGCCACCTCCGACGGCCGCGTCATCTTTTTCCTGCCGTGGATGAAGCACACGATCGCCGGCACGACCGACTCGCCGTGCGGCGTGACGGAGCACCCGGCGCCCAGCGAGGAGGACATCACGTTCATCCTGAGCGAGGTGCGCAACTACCTCAGCCCCGAGATCGAGGTGCGCCGCGGCGACGTCCTGTCGGCGTGGAGCGGCATCCGGCCGCTCGTCTCCGACCCCAACCGGCCCGATACGCAGAGCATCGCGCGCAACCACGTGGTGCACGTCGGCGCCGTCGGGGCTGGTGACGATCGCCGGCGGCAAGTGGACGACGTACCGCTCCATGGCCGAGGAGACGGTGGACGCGGCTGTGCGCGCCGCCGCCCTGCCGGCCTCACGCTGCCGCACGCAGGGGCTGCTGCTGGAGGGCGCGCACGACTGGACGACCCAACATGTACATCCGGCTGGTGCAGGACCTCGGCATGGACCCGGAGGTGGCGCAGCACCTGGCCGACACCTACGGCGACCGCGCCTTCGCCGTGGCCAAGCACGCCGCGCCGACGGGCAAGGCCTGGCCGACGGTCGGCCGTCGTCTGGACGAGGAGTTTCCCTACCTGGAGGCCGAGGTCCGCTACGCCGTGCGCGAGTACGCCGCCACGGCGGTGGACGTGCTCGGGCGCCGGTTGCGGCTCGCCTTCCTCAATAACATGGCTGCGGAGCACGCGCTGCCGCGCGTGGTGGACATCCTGGCCGAGGAGCTGGGCTGGAGCGCTACGGAGCGTCAGAAGCAGCTGGACGAGGCGCTCACTTTCCTGCGCACCGAGATGGGCCAGACGGTGAACCAGGAGTCGCGCCTCCAGGTGCCCATCAACCTTACCGTGCGCGAGGTCCAGACCTACACCAAGCGCTTCCAGGCGCTGGACCGCGAGAAGAAGGGCTTCATCTCGGTGGTGGACCTGCGCCAGGAGCTGTCCGACCTGCCCGGTGCGCAGATCCACGGCATGCTGTCGGAGGTGGACCCGGCCCACCACGGCTGCGTCGATCTCGCCGCCTACATGCAGATCATGGCCACGCTCAAGACGGGCTCGCCGCGCGGGCGGCACGAGCACGAGCGCGTGGAAGGCGACAACGTACGCATCCCGGTGGAGAGGAGCGGCGGCGGGGTGTAGCCGGCGGGGCGGGGTGGGGGAGGGGTGGGGTACGGGCGCCTCCTCCTCCCGCGGACCGGTGCTGTGCGGCGGGCGGCAACGCCCGGCCGGCAGGACAGGCGGAGAAGTGTTCGGTTGTGAGGCGTCCGGTCTGACGGGTCTGAAGGCAGGAGGCTGGGACCCGAGCCGCTGGTTGTGAATGTCGAGTCCGGCGAGGCGGACTCGTCGACGACAAAAGACAAAGATACGGCCGATTTCTCGTCGAAAGTGAACAACGATCCGCCCCCCCCCCCCCCCCCGACGCATGCATAGCCGTGTGCACATGACGTGCGCCACGTGCACGGCAGGTGGCGCATGCCTGGCCGCCTGGGCGCTGTGTTCCCGCTTACGTGGCTCGAGCGGCGTGTAAAGGGTCTCTGCGGTGTGAAATCCCTTGGTAGGGCACGCGGCGGCACGAAACTGGGCGACGCGTCTGCTGCGTCATTGTTGATTGCTGCGGCGACTCGCAGCGTTCGCCGTCGTCTTCCACTTCGTTTGGCTCCGTGCCAAGCCGCCAAATTACGTCATGCCGCGGTTGGCCGGAGACATCGGTATTTGTCAACGCTCCTCCAATGGCATGGGCAGTTACAATCACGATACGCTAGCCCGAATATTTGATTATATCGAAGCTTTGCGTGTGGCGGCGTGCAATGTTTCGCGATTTGTTGCAGTTGTAATCCACCAATGTCAATGCAGTAGGCGTGCAATGTTTTGCAATCGTCCCCGTTGCGGTAGCCTAGGTCGCACACGGCTCCATGCCTGCTTTTCTTCCTGACACTTAGCGCTCGGTGTTCCTATTTTTGCGTGGTGTGAGTCGTGTTGTCCCTGTGGCGAGAACAAATGCGTGCAGTACGCGACTTAGTGCGCTGACACAGTGGATAGCGCTGTCATATGTCAAGGCGTTCGTGATAATGTGCAGCCGAAAATCCGAGCCATTTTCCGGCTGCATGGTACGTCAAGTAGGGCCGAAAATTGTCCCGTGTTGTCTGGCTTTGCCTGATGCGCTTTAGGTGTCAGGAACAGGTGGTTTGCTTTCCAGTATTATAGGCTTGCACTGTCGTGACGTCACTGATACGCTTTAACTGGTATTACTCAGTCTTAGCGCAGACTACCCGTTTGTCCGTTGCAAATCTCGATTGTTTTTACGAATTTCACTGTTGCGCTGAATGTTAGTCACTCATGACCCCTCATCGTTTTCATTCGCACGCAATAGACATGAATAAAGTACGGGACCCATGGTATGGATGTTTCAGGTGGGTGACTCACGGAGGGCTTTATCGATGTCACTTGTCATACCGCGCACTGTTGACTGCAGTCCCAATCTCTGAGGAATACCAAAAAATAAGTCGCGACGCTCTATATTTCGGAAGACATGCCCTCACCAGCTCGGCTTTGAAATTTCAAAACTCACCTGAATGGTGCATGTCTGCCGAAATATAACGAGTCTTTCGGCTTAGTTTTAGTATTTCTTGGAGCTTGAGCCGGCATACAACAGTGCACGGCAGAAAACTGATTAAGATGAACAGTCCCAGGGAGAATCTGCCATCGATGAGCAAATGCCGCACATGTCCGCCCATCAGCTGAACGAGGCACGAGTCTAGCAGTGTCCCGGCTCCCCACTCGTGCCCTCTGCGCACCCCAACAGGGCGGCACGCGCACTCGGATGACTCAGTTCTTGAAGATTTGGTCGGAAACGTGCTCTTGGCAAATACTGCGTTTGCACTCCAGCATGTTCTGCGGTTTGACTGTGACGTTACATCGGTCGCCTCAGGAAGTGTGGCTAATCTAAATTGTACGCAAGGCGCAGAAGCTCGCTGGCTCCATGCTGTGAACGATCTCATTTTGTACCGGGTAAGAAAACTCTAAGGGCAGGTAAAAACAACTGTTGCAATACCATCCGTGCAATTCTCGAAAAAGTTGCAAAATCTTCTACCCGAACTGACTACCAACATGATGGAAACAAATGCCACAATGGTCAATGATTTCGACACTGAGATCTGGGTTTGATGAAATTCAATGTCATATTGGTGATTCCACATATACGTACTAGCGCACCATCTGAAAACAAGCAAATAGAAGGCCGAATGTAAAACCAAAGGCCGAAGTAGAAAGCTGTAAATCGCGGAGGACACTTTTCCTGAATGATAACATATTTTTGCCTACGGATATGGTAGCCATAGGTGGAGCCATATTTCGTTTAGACAGATGAGACGCTGTTGCTACGCGGCGCGGATAGCGTTTACGAAGAGTTTAGGAGAAGTGGTCGGCCGTTGTTTAGCTTGCCAGATTGGCCCTGAAACGAGTGGTCAGGAGTAATTCCGCGAAGAACGCCATCATTTGAGAATATCTTTATTTTCCTCCTGAGGTTGGTATCTGCTCAAACTAAGTGTGATGAAACTGTGCCGATACGCATGCAGCACAGTCCTGGAGCGTATTACCTTTTCGGTCAGTTGGTGTGATGTGACTATCGCATTCACAGTTATTAATTTATTTAGGTAGGTGTGCTATGAGGACACCAAATAGCAAACAAAACATGGTGTTTGCACTATGGAAAATCCATTACAATTGTGCACACCTATGGAGTAAAATCAGGCTGCTTCCATTTTTAGCCTGATTGCAGTGGCATGCAAGTGGCACTCTTTAGGCTGTGAATGCCATGCAACATATTTGCACTGTTGAGTGCTAATGTGTGGGTAGCCATTTTTGAAGTATCCAGGCTTAAATTCTTTGGTTTCTTTTGTCCAGATGGGCATGAGCTGTTCACAATAAAGTAATTTGATGTGACATGGGATTCTGGCCATTATTAATTGTATTTGTCACATTGATTCCTTTATAGTCACTTGTATTATGGTTTTTTATGTGCAGGTACCTTGAGTAATCATAAGTTGAAAATGTGGCAGGAGTTAAAAATGGGTTTGGAAGGAATATATTGAGGTGATATTTACTTCAGCTTGTCTGTCTGTGACTGCAGTAAAATCCTTCCCATGTTATCTAGTTATGTATTATGCACTAACCTATTATATTCTGGCTCATTCAGCTAACTAAAATGTTCACAGTTCCAGCAGGATGTCAAAGAACAAGCTGAATCTGACACTGCCCTCCATCTCTGCTGATGTGAATGGTCCTGATGTAGCAACCCCTCCAAACAAGACACCTGCTGAGTGAGTCTCTGTGTTTTTGAGATCATAATATCATGACAAGTGCTGCATCCCATGGCATTCTTGCATGTGATGAGCAGGGAGCTGGCTCTGGCTGGATGCACTCACTATCTGCACTCACTATTTCTGTGTTCCAAGTTGTCATGCAATGCTAAGGTATTAACTGGGCATCTGTATTATTATATGTTGATGTGTGCAGAAATGTCAAGGATGTTGCCAAAGACCTGCTTTTGGATTAGGTGGTTGCCAGTGATTTGAATGCTGAAATGTATGCTTTTCATGTCTTTCATTTGCCATCCTCTCTTATGTCTGGCGCTGTCCCAATGATCAGAGCAGCCTAACTAATGCATTAGTCACCCACTGACTCCTCAGTAGCTCAGCTGTCCAACTGGCTGAGCTGATGATTGTTCCAAAATCATCGTGACATTCGACCAATCAAGCCCTACTGCCATGCCACTGATGATAACAGCCTTCTGGTCTGAGCATGTCATAATACCTGAGCTGACCTTCAACTGAAATGTCATCCTTTTACCTCCCAGCACTGAACAAATGACTCATGTATTAGGCTATCATCAGGCACAGTTCCCACCTAGTTATGTGCTGTCTGGCCATGCCTCTCTCATAGGCCACCTGATGACCCAGCTGCCTCAATACTTTCTTCTGACATATCTTCCTGCATTGTCTGCTGACCTGCTCTTCCCCCACACTTCACTCTAAACTGTTTTCCCCATGCCACCCATTGATCTGTCCCCATGTCACCTTTGACCTCTCTCCTCATGCTGTCCTCTGACCTCTATCCCTGCACTGTCCTCTGAACCCTCTCCCCACATTGTTCTGATGCTGTCCTCTGACCTTTCTTCCCATGTTCTCCTCTGACTTCTTTCCCCACACTGTCCTCTGACCTCTCACCCCACACCATCCTCTGGCCACTTCCCATGCTGTCCTTTGACCTCTCTCCATGCCATCTTCTGACCTCTCCCCACACTATCCTCTGACCTCTCCCCACACCATCCCCTGACCTCTTACCCCATGCCACCTTCTGACCTCTCCCCATGCTGTCCTCCGGCCTCACTCCCCACACTCTACCCTGACCTCCCATCCCCTCACCATCCCCTGGCCTCTCTCCATGCCCCTCTGACCTCTCTGCCCACATCATTCTCTGGCCTCTCTTCCCACACCATTCTCTGACCTTTTCCCCACACCATCCTCAGACCTCTCCCCCACACTGTCCTCTGTCTTCTCTCCCCACCCCATGCTGTCCTCTAACCTCTCTCCTCACACCATCCTCTAACCTCTCTTCCCACACCGTCCTCTGACCTCTCTCCCCACGCTGTCCTCTGGCCTTTCTCCCCACGCCATCCTCTCCTCTGACCTCCCTCCCCACACTGTTCTCTGACGTCTCCCCACGCCGTCCTCTGACCTCTTGTGCTGCGCAGACCGGCCGTGCGCGCCGCGGTACCCGGCTCTTACTCGGAGGACGTCATCAACAAGATGAAGCAGATGAACTTGGACGACACCACGCGCCGTCGGATGGAGAACTTCCTGATGCAGAAGCAGCGCGTGGGCGGGTGTCTGCAGGCCGAGGACTTCGACAAGCTGGGCGAACTTGGCGCCGGCAACGGCGGCGTCGTCATCAAGGTCCGCCACAAGCCCACCGGCTTCATCATGGCGCGGAAGGTAGGCGGGCCGGGACGGGTCGGCGAGAGCGTCACTGCAGAGGGGTGACGGCTGTAGATGTGGAAGGACGGGGGCTGCGGTGGGGGCTTTGTAGGGGCTGCATTGGTGACCAGTAGGGTGGTGTGGGATTGGGGGATGAGCAGTCAGTCTTTGGGCATGTTTTAGGAACTCTGGAGTGAGAAGGCATGCTGACAGGTATGGTTTTGTTGTTCCTGCACACACTGAGGGGGGAATGTATTAAAAGGTCACACCAGCTGTTTTTCATTCCAGAACTGTCAGGTGTGAATATGTGCAGTCAGAATAAGCTGCATTGTGTGCATCACTGCTTTAACATCAGTAGACCTGGCAGTACTATGAACTGTATAGCCTGAAGGTTAAGAAAGTGCCAGTGTTATGGTCACCTTAAATTGTAGGTGGCACGCGACAGTTGTGCTCAGTCCTCCTGTATCTTTAAACGGCACAGGCTGTTGTACGTTTCGTGTTGGGATGGGAGTCACCCTCGTGCCATTTGGTCCGGTGCGATGGTTCGCTAGCCATGTACGGGCCACGACTGCACACGCCTCTGATTGGCCGCTGCTCCTCACATTCCCATCTGATTGGTAGTCGCTGGTCGCGCTGCGTCCTGATTGGTTGCCTGTGTCGCCAGCTGATCCACCTGGAGGTGAAGCCAGCCATCAAGAACCAGATCATGCGGGAGTTGGAGGTGCTGAACCAGTGCTTCTCCCCACAGATTGTCGGCTTCTTCGGGTCGTTTTACAGGTGTGTGGGATGAACTTGTCAGTGGTGTTAAGTGCTTGTTACGGCTGGCCAGCAAAGTGTGAAGTGTGCAGGCAACGGGTTTCCGAATCATCCCTATTCATCTGGTGTAGCATTGGTTTCCCATCCTCGATTACCTTTCAAGTCAGCGATTTCAAGGTGACATGACGATTTCCATGTTTTTAATGTTTTCCTGGTGTCATAACTGTTTCCTTAGTTTACGTGATCATTTTCTTGTGAACTTCCATCCCAGTCAATCCATATATGAATGAGACATGGGGAGAAGTCGCCTAAGTGGCCTAAAAACGAACGCGACTCGTGTTACGGCGATAAATTTGCAAGCAGAGAGGCGGTCTGAACTCTCCAGTTAGGGACAGCCTGTTTTCTCCCGTGACAGTCCTGCCAGTGACTGCCTTCTTTGCCAGTGACGACCTCCGTTCCTCGCCGACATGTGCCCTGTCGGCCTGTGACGCTCCCCCCCCCCTTCGTGCTACGCCAGCGACCGTCTCCTCCGCCGGTTACGACCTCTGTGCCTCGGTGTCGTGTGCTCCTGTGACGTCCCGTGACGCCCTCCCCCCCCCCCCCCCGTGCTCCGCCAGTGACGGGGAGCTGAGTATAGGGATGGAGTACATGGACGGCGGCTCGCTGGACCTAGTGTTGAAGCAGATAGATCGGATACCGGAGAAGATCCTGGCCAAGATCACCTCCGAGGTACGACCTGTATCACAAGTCGTTCATGTTTATAACATCGTATGTGTGTCGCTGGCGTTGCGTCTTATTTGCAGGTGTTGCGTGTTCTGTGTTGATCTATGTAGTATGTACTGACGCGGCGTTAGAATAGCCACTCGCTCGATTTGGCCAAGGTTTGTAATAACAACAATAATAATAATAATAACTACCGCCGGCGGCCGCGCGCGCTGGCGGCGACGACAGTGGTCGGGTTGCCGGAGCCTCGATAGCCACGCACTTCATGCTTGTGTGGTGCCTGTCCGGGACCGTGTTTCGCTATTTGAAGTGTGAGTCGCCGCTCCTTTCGTGCGTGAAGCTTCGTGGGCCTTCTGTGAACTTAAGAAGGTGACTCGTATCCTCCTGGCAGGCCGATTCTGCCTCCGAACTTAATTCACTCATATGCCTTACGGCGGTATGGTGGCTTCGGGTATGGTCTAGTGTGTGCCTTAGCTGGTAAAATATCCCCTCCCGATGTGCCTGTAGCTATGTGCTGCTTATGTGCCGCCCCGAGCAAGGACAACCTCACGGGCAGCCCGCGCTGTGCGTTCTGCAGGTGCTGAAGGGCCTGTCGTACCTGCGGGAGCTGCACCAGATCATCCACCGGGACGTCAAGCCCTCCAACATCCTCATCAACAGCCACGGCGAGATCAAGCTCTGCGACTTCGGCGTGTCCGGCCAGCTGATCGACTCCATGGCTAACTCTTTTGTCGGCACGCGCAGCTACATGTCGGTGAGTGGTGCGGCGCTCATACAGTGATAACTGCGGTGGCGAGTTCTGCAGCGACCTGTGGTTGCCTACGTGCAGGACTAACAGCAGTGGTCGTTCAGGTACCTGCTGTGTTTGGCACAATGTGGCACAAAGGCGGCTTCTGTTGTGGTCTGTTTGTGATAAGGTTTGGTTGTGATATGGATGAAGCCAATCGCTCTAACTCTCGTTGGAGCTCTACACATTCCGCCTCGCGCACCGCTTGTGTAGGCCTAAAGCTTCCCCGCGATACAACAGTGGTCGCATGTCTGTACCAATGTATCACCAGCTTTTTCCAAGGTATAACCCACTTCCCTCCCCCCCCCCCCCCCCGATTTTGGCTCCAAAATCGAAGCGAACGTATGGATTCTCATTGCGGCGCTGCTATCCTCCTCGCACTCAATGCGATCCATGCACACACCCTTGTTTTCCCTCATCTCCAGTCGGAACGCAAGCAGAGGATCCTGAACACCGCATTTCGCTGTTTCCTCCCCTGCTCCCCCTCCCCCCCCCCCCCCCCCACCTCCCATGACCACGTCTACCACGCGTTTTCATGTTTCCCCACCAGCCAGAGTGGTGGAAGGAGATCTTGGTCACCTCAGTGACGCTGCGACGCTCCACTACGGCGTAATCCGCCACGCGTTCCGCCCCACAGCCGGAGCGACTTCAGGGGATCCACTACTCGGTACAGAGCGACATCTGGTCGCTGGGGCTGTCGCTGGTGGAGATGGCGCTGGGGCTGTACCCGATCCCGCCGCCCGACTACGCCACCCTGGCGCACAAGTTCGGCACGCAGTTCACCGAGAACGCGCCCAACCGGGTGGCCTCCCCGCTCGCCAAGTCGCCCAAGTCCGGTGGGTGCACGACGGGGCAGGCCCTGTGTGGACAGCGAGGAGAGGGAGCGACGGGTGATGCAGATGCTCGCGGTGGCGGAGGGTTCTCGTCAGGGGGAGTGACGGGTGGTGTAGATACTCGTGGTGACGGAGGGTTCTCGTCGGGGGTGGGAGATGACGGGTGGTGTAGATGCTCGCGGTGGTGCAGGGCTCTCTTCAGGGGGGAGTGACGGGTGATGCAGATGCTCGCGGTGGCGGAGGGTTCTCGTCAGGGGGAGTGACGGGTGGTGTAGATACTCGTGGTGACGGAGGGTTCTCGTCAGGGGTGGGAGATGACGGGTGGTGTGTAGATGCTCGCGGTGGTGCAGGGCTCTCTTCAGGGGGGAGTGACAGGTGGCGTGGATGCTCGCGGTGGCGGGGGTTCTTGTCAGGGGGTGGGGGAATGACGGGTGATGTAGATACTCGCAGTGGCGGAGGGTTCTCGTCAGGGGGGGAGTGACGGGTGGTGTAGATGCTCGCGGTGGCGGAGGGTTCTCGTCAGGGGGGGGAGTGACGGGTGGTGTAGATGCTCGCGGTGGCTGAGCATTCTCGTCAGGGGGGGAGTGACGGGTGGTGTAGATACTCGTGGTGGCGGAGGGTTCCCGCCGGGGGGGGGGGGGATGACGGGTGGTGTAGATGCTCGCGGTGGTGCAGGGCTCTCATCGGGGTGTGGGGGAAATGATGGGGTGGCATAGATGCTCGTGGTAGTGGAGGGTTCTCATCGTATTAGTGAGATAGCTTTGTCACCGGTTGTATTGGAATGATTTACGTGGAGAGCGTCCCTGTGCTATTTCTTGAATGTCGTCTAGTTTAACGGGCATTCAAGACGCGGCCGAGGTATGCTCACATTGCAAGAGAAGCTGACATATGCTGACTTGCGAAAGGTGCTGGCACGTGAAGTGGGAGTGACCCGACGAGGGTGTTATGTCAATTCGGAGTGGTCTGTCGTTCGGGTGGGTGTTGTCTGTTCTGACCAGATGCGTTGTAACTGAAGCTAGCTGGGTCTTGTTTCCGTCCATGCCGCTCGGACAGCGCCCAGTTCGGGTGAGTGTCGTGCGTCGATGATGCATCGACCTTCCGTTGGTGTGCCCTTTGTCTGTCTGGCGTTTTTTGCGTTTTGGCATTTGTCTTTATGACATATTTTCACGCAGATGCGCTTCGCAGTTTTGTAAAGAACCATGCGTCAGTCTAAAGCACCTGCAAGCTGCCACTCGACTAACGCAAACACAAGTTGTCGGCTGTTTAACCTTTCAGTGTTTTGCCACACCCGTCTGCGTGCGTCGGGTCCATTCATCTGCGAACACAACCCGACCTGACCTGACCTTAGCTGACGAGGCCTGACCTGTCCTGATGGGACCTGACCTGACCTGGCAAGACCTGACCCGATCTGACCAGGCCTGGCCTGACAAAAACCTGGCCTTATCCTAGGAGACCTGATCTGATTAAACCTGACCTGACCTGACCTGATGAAACCTGATCTGTCCTGACGAAACCTGATTTGTCCTGACGAAACCTGAACTGACCTGACCTGACCTAACCTTATACCGCCCGCCCGCAGCCGGCGTGGGAAACGGCCGTCAGTTGGCGATATTCGACCTTCTGGAGCACATCGTCAACGAGCCGCCGCCCAAGCTGCCGCAGGGCCTCTTCAGCGACGACTTCGTCAACTTCGTCGACAGCTGCCTGAAGAAGAACCCTGAGGAGCGGGCTGACCTCAAGTCTCTTATAGTACGTGGCGCACAGTCCGGTCTCGTGGCGCGGCTCCGTATTGGGGCAGCGCTGCGGAGAGCCGCAGCTGCATCCGTTGAACGCGTGTGGATCGCCCGCCTCGCCCTGTGTGCCGGCGCGTCGGTGGGGTGCGCGCCGCGATGGCCGCAAGATGCAGACACACGTGTACATGTATCGTCAGGCGCGGCGGGCGTTTGATGTGTAAGGTTTGAAGTGTGAAGGTCTGGAACGGCGATGTGCCCGGGGACTGTGTGCGGAATTTGACGGCGCCTCTGACCTCCAGGTACACCCCTGGATCCTGCGCGCGGAGCAGGAGAACGTGGATATCGCCGGCTGGATCTGCAAGACCATGAACCTCACGCCCACTTCCGCCACGCTGAAGCCGAAATAGCGACGCGGGCACACTAGCGCCGCCTGCCGGCGGAAAGTTGGCGTACCTCGCCACCTGGGCGGCCGCCGCCGTCGCCGTGGCGCGTGTCGCCAGCGGATCGGCATTTTGGCGCGGTCCCGGCCGGTGTTTTGGCGCGCTCTGTCAGCGCCTGGTGGCGGGACTGGTCCGGGACGCGCGCCGTCGGGGCGGGGCCTCCCGGACGGACGGCTCCCGTGGGGACGCCACCGTCGCGTCGGCCCGCGCCGCAATAGCCGCAGATGGAGTCTGATGACGTTCCCGGGTGGTGGAGGCGGCACCCCACGGGCCGAGCCGGCCGACACTGCCGTGGGAGGCGAGAGCGGGCCGCGGTCTGCGGCCTGCCCGCCGTCAGGAGGGCCGGCGGACACTCCTGTCCCGGCCGGTCGGCGGGGTCTTTCCATATCGTGGCCAGCGCCGGCCACTCGCTTACGCGTCCCTCGACTGGTTGCCGGTTTTCGTTTGTAGTCGCGCTTAGCTTGCCCCCGCGTTGCGTCGTGGGTGCGTTTCTTGGTTTGCGTAGGACAGTCAAGGCATCGAATCATCGCCTCGCCGCTCGGCACGTTTTGATGATTTCGCCGCCGACGGCGTTTGCTGCGCGTCCTCCGTTTAGGAGCGCTGCGCGGATCGGTTTCGCCGGCGGCCGCGGCGCCTCGGCTTTGCTCGCGTTCGCTCGCTGCTCGTTCGGCTTTGGATGCGAATCGGTGCGCCGGCCCCGGATTGGCGGGCTCACTCTGTGATGTGATTGTATTGGTCGGTGGGCGGGGCGTGCGCCGTCGGTGCGCTGCAGCCGTGTCGTGGCGCAGAGACGCGACACGGCACCTGGCCCGATGTCTTCATTCGATCGTGTCATCTGACTGGTATGTGGTGATGTTGTAATCGTGCTTCGCATTTAATTGTACTTATTTGATTCCTGTAAGATATGCACTTAGGTGGACTGGCACGGTGTTTTAATGTCCACTGGAAACCGTCGCAGGGGACAAGAGAGACGGAGCGAACGAGCGGGATAGAACGCGAATCATGGCACGTTCTGCCACCAAATATTCGTCACCGTATGAGCTTTCACCTCATTCTCTCAGCTGTCGTGAACAACGATCCTGAAGAGCATGAGCCGGCGGAGGCACGACGGACTGACAGTGCAGCTAGCTATGCAGCAGCTAGCTGTGTGCGACGCATGCGTTGCAGCGCAAAGCGAGTAATGACGCTCGCACCCAGAGCTATGCGTTATATCATGAGAAGTCGGTGGGCGCAGTCGGCGGTCTGCTCCATTAGGAGAGCGGAGCGGCCGACTGTTTTCCGTCCGCTTTTCGAATCCCCGCGTTACTGTGCTTAGGGACATGGCCTCAAGCCTCCGTCAAATCGGTACTGTTGGCAGGATTCCGCGGCCAGCACATTACATATGCATGTGGGTAATGGCCTTCACGGCAGGAACCATGCTGCCCATCAAGGACCTAAGCTTGGGGACGGTTAGGTTTAAGTTATCATTCAGGGGGCAACTTCGCGCCAACTCAGGAGAATTCGACTACGTCCGCGCCAACCGACTGCGAACGCGCGAGGTCGTAGGTTGCTGTTACATGGTTTTAAAGTTGCATCTGGCAATCTCCATGCTACGCTGTTCCTGTGCTACTGGCATCCGGCCCAGCAGATGAGAGGAATTTCGACTGGCTTGGCTACTCAAGGTGACAGGTGGGGGCGGCTGCCAATGGCCGATGTATGTAACGGCCCATAGAGGCGATGGCTCACACGGTTTTGGCGACGCTGCGAGGCCACCGACCAAATCCACCAGCCAGCGGGCAGTATTTTTGACATTTCGTATGAATTACATAACCAATAATGTTATGTAATTTTGCTGAGAAAATATTCTGCCCAACTGCAAAGGTGGATACAAATGTGCCGCAGCCATGACATAAGTGAAGTAGTTTCCCCACTGGGTCGTTGTCGATTCTTCATTCCCCACTTGCTACGGGTCGCGGGGGAGCATTGTAAACTCGGTGGAGGCTGGGCTGAAGTGGAGACGTTTCCCAAGTTGTAAAGCCGATAAGCCATTTGGAGTGGTGCTCCTTCACACGATGAATTCCCTTGCGAGGGTAGCGAACGTCTCTAAGGGATGTGTAACAGGTAGGTAGTGGAGATTTGCAACGCTGTGGTCGGAGGAACGAGTATTGTGATGCGTTTTGGATGTCAGCTGTGTGGGTTGGCTGCTGTTTATGTTGCTAAATGTACAAATGTTAGCATTTTGAGTTTATGGATGTAGGTGTCTGTTAATTCAAGTGGACAGCTCTAGTCTCCCTGAATAAATATCAGGCCATTACAAAAGCATATGTTGTTATGTAACATTTGGGTCATGTTCATACACCAGTCTGCAAATAATGGCAAATTTACCAACAAGATGATGAGGGGAAGATGGATTCCTGCCCCTAATAGGATAGTAAGGTGCTCACTTAGGGCAGATTTTGTTAACCTTGCTGTCCCCCTGAAACAAGAATGATCACAAGATCTGATAATCTCCTGTAATTTGTGCCTTATATGGTACAGGAAATATAATGATGCCCTCAATATTTAAGCTAGATGATTTCTGTCACAAAATGATGATGAGCTACCTCAACTTACAAATTGTGCCCCATCACTGGCTCAATGAGCTCTCATCAAATCTGCCATGGTCTGCAGTCTAGCACATGTTGATACTGTTTGGGAGTTGAATATTTACAGTTTTGTATATAGGTCATGTTCATGTTCACAAATATGATGTATTGTTTATTTAGAGAAATTGTTGTTTATTTTGATCAAAATATCCTGTTAACTTTTTATAAAAAATAGTAATTTGTTTGGGATTCTTCAAGTACTTCACCTTTTTTAGAAGAAGAAAAATATCCACCGTGAGTGTTTTATGCGCAGTACGAAACAGGCACAGCCAGCTCAAGTTAGCAGAATTGGCCAACTTGGAAATCATGCAACCCAAACAACATCTTTAGCACCAAAATGATGAGCAGGCAATTAACATTATTCATTCTGTCGTTTCGACCATTGCTACTCACAGTGCTCGCATGAGCGCCTATCATCTTCAAGAAATTGCCATCTGACAATATTATAATTTCGGCAACAAACCAGTAATGCGATTTTTAACACGCAGGTAGCACACGATTTATAACGCGTACTAAAAGGTCAACCTGAGCACCAAACCACGGACATACGAGAAACCAAGAATAGCATCCCAGGTTTGCACATTCGTGTCTCTAATTATCTATTGGCGCGCTGAGCCTTCGTACATAACATAATTTTGATCATTATTTTCAAATATTTGATAACTTACGGCACATCGCGCGCAGGCCAGAAAGGCGCCTACACTCTTACCCTATCATTGCACTTCTTTTGACTTCTTACTTTATTATTGCACTCCTAATTTATTTCCAGTTGTGAAGCTTAAATTGATATTTCCACACAGACAACACAGAGAAAGACCCAACAATATCGGCTGAACTGAAGCATTTCCAGCAACCTTAAAAAAACGATCAAGCCACGGGAACCCAACACCGAAGCCAAGCCAACGTTTTCGGTGCGGTACATTAATGTCTAGTAGTGCACCGCATACACGAGTCTGGGTAGTGCGATTCACACTTATTGGAACCAAACACATCGTGACGACAATGTCGCTTAAGCTACAACACTTGGGTTCAATTAATATGAATACTCCATTGTCGTTAGATCCTGCCATCATGTCGTGCGGAGGGACTGTCGTAGCACCCTCTTAAAGTAGTGCACCGCTTGTACAATTCCAACGAGCGAGGCCTGAAATCGCTCTGACATCCAGAGACATACTCTGCCGAGATAATATGCCAACAGCAATCCTAGGATAACGGACCAAGCCCCGGAAAACTAAGACTGAAGCAAGGCCAGCGTTCTCGGTACGGTACATATACGTCTGTTAGCGTAGTGCACCTCACACACGAGTCCGGATAATGCGATTCACACTTACTAGAACTTAACACATCGTGCTGACAATGTCGGTGGAACTGCAAGACTTCGGTCCGATAAATAAGACCCATACATTGCCGTGAGATGTTGCCATCATGTGCGGGCGGACTGCACTAGCACCCTCTTCAAGAAGTACACCTCTTGTATAATTCCAATTGGAGAGACCTTAAAACCGCTCTGACATCCAAAGACATCCTCTACCAAGATAATATGCAAATATCAATCCTAAGGAAACGGACCAAGCCCCGGAAATCGAAGACCGAAGTAAATCTCATGTTTTCAGTACGCTACATATGCTTAACTGGCGCAGTACCTCTCATACACGGGTCCGGATAATGCAATTCACACTAGCTAGAAATAAATACGTCGTGCGGACATTGTCCGTTCGGTTACAACACTTTGGTTTAATGAATAAGACCCATGCATTGTCGTGAGATGTTGGCATCATGTGCGGACAGACTGCAGTAGCACCCTCTTAAAGTAGTGCACCTCTTGTATAATTCCGATTGGCGAAACCTAAAAGCCGCTCTGATGTGCAGAGACATACCCTGCCGAGATAATATGCCGACACGAACCCCAAGGAAAGAAGCCAAGCCTCGGAAACCGAGGACCGAAGCAAAGGCAACGCTTTCGGTACGGTACATATACGTTTATTCGTGCGGGGCACCTGAAACTAGAGTCCTTATAATGCGATTCACACTAAGTAGAAATAAACACATTGTGCCGACAATGTCGGTTGAGCTGCAATACTTTGGTTCAATGAATAGGACTCATGCACTATCGTGAGATGTCACCATCATGTGCGGATGGACTGTAGTAGCGTCTTCTTAAAGTAGTGCACCTCTTGTATAATTCCAATTGGCGAGACCTAAAAACCGCTTTGACATCCAAAGACATACTCTACCGAGATAATGTGCCAACAGCAATTTTAAGGGGGCCGACCAAGCCCCGGAAACCGAAGACCGAAGCGAGGCCAACGTTTTCGGTACGGTGCATACATGTTTATAAGCGCAGCGCACCTTATACACGACAGTACTATCTCGGTAGAGAATGTTCTTGGATGCCAGAGGCGTTTTCAGGTCTCTCCAACTGGAATAATGCAAGAGGTACACTACTTTAAAGGGGTTGCTTCTACGGTCAGTCCGCGCAACATGATGGTGATATCTCACGGCAATGCATGAGTCTTGTTCATTGAACCGAAGTACGACATTGTCGCGGCGACGGGTTAATTTCTAGTAAGTGTGAACCGAACTATAAGGACTGGTGTTTCAAATGCCCCGCGCCAATAAACGTACATGTGCCGTACCGAAAATGTTGGCTTTGCTTCGGTCTTCGGTTTGCGGGGCTTGGCCTATTTCCTTGGGGCTGCCGTCGGCATATTATCTCGGTAGAGCATGCATTTGGATGTCGGAGCGGTTTTTAGGTCTCGTCAATTCGAATTATACAAGAGGTGCACTACTTTAAGAGGGTGCTACTGCAGTCCGTCCGCACATGATGGCAACATCTCACGGCAATGCATGGGTCTTATTCATTGAACCTAAGTGTTGTAATTGAACCGACAATGTCCGCACGACATATTTATCTCTAGCAAGTGTGAATTGCATCATGCGGGCCCGTGTATGAGGTGTAATGCGCCAGTTAAAGCATATGTACCGTACTGAAAACGTGGGATTTACTTCGGTCTCCGGTTTCCGGGGCTTGGCGTATTCCTTTGGCATTGTTGTTAGCATATTCTCTTGGTAGAGCATGTCCTTGAATGTCAGTTTGGTACGGTTTGGATGTTCCGGCCCGGCATATATACGCTGATAGACGTATATGTGCCGTACCTGGCTTTGCTTCAGTCTTCGATTTCTGGGGCCAGGTCCGTTTCCTTAGGATTGCTATTGGCATATTATCTCTGTAGAGGATGTCTTTGGATTTGGGAGCGGCTTTTAGGTCTCGCCAATTGGAATTATACAAGAGGTGCACTGCTTGAAGAGGGTGCTACTGCAGTCCGCCTGCACATGATGGCAACATCTCACGGCAATGCATGAGTCTTATTCATCGGACCGAAGTCTTGCAGTTCCACCGACATTGTCAGCACGATGTGTTAAGTTCTAATAAGTGTGAATTGCGTTATCCGGACTCGTGTGTGAGGTGCACTACGCTAATAGACGTATATGTACCGTACCGAAAACGCTGGCCTTGCTTCAGTCTTATTTTCCCGGGGCTTGTTCGTTTCCTTTGGATTGCTGTTGGCATATTATCTCGGCAGAGTATGTCTCTGGATGTCAGAGCGATTTCAGGCCTCGCTCGTTGGAATTGTACAAGAGGTGCACTACTTTAAGAGGGTACTACGACAGTCCCTCCGCACGACATGATGGCAGGATCTCACGGCAACGGAGTAGCCATATTAATTGAACCCAAGTGTTGTAGCTTAAGCGACATTGTCGTCACGATGTGTTTGGTTCTAATAAGTGTGAATTTGTTGGCTCAGCGCACCAACAGATAATTCGAGACACGAATGTGCAGAACTGGGATACTATTCTTGGTTTCTCGTATGTCCGTGATTTGGTCCTTAGGTTGTTCTTTAAGTACGTGTTATAAATCGTCTGCTGTCTGCGAGTTAAAAATCACGTTACTGACTTGTTGCCGAAATTATAATAGTGTCAGATGGTAATTTCTTGAAGATGATAGGCGCTCAGGCGGGCATTGTGAGTAGCAATGGTCAAAACGACGAAGTAAATAATGCTAATTGCCTGCTCGTTATTTTTGGTGCTAAAGATGTTGTTTGGGTTGTATGATTTCCAAGTTGGCCAATTCTGCTAACGTGGGCTGGCTGTGCCCGTTTCGTACTGCGCATAAAACGCTCGTGGCAGAGATTTTTCTTCTAAAAAAGGTGAAATAAATGAATGCTGCTGTTGATGTGCTTCTAAGCCCAAACAACAGCCATGACAACACCTGGCAACATGCTGTTATGGCAGCCCCACCCACAGTGAAGATGTATGTGCATAACTGGCCAAGGATGGCTGATGCCCCAAGCTTGTCATTGCTGTACCTCAACTTCTCATGCTGTAAAAGTCGGAGGCATGCCAGTTGGAGGCAAGAAGCAGGTGTAATCCTCCTATTGATTACATAATAGTGTACCTAGCGCATGGAAAGACCTGTCTTTCTGTCGCTTTTCCAGCTCTAGTATTTACTCAACATATATGTGTATATATATATATATATATATATATATATATATATATCTATATCTATATCTATATATATATATATATATATATATATCAGAAGGAAAGGCCTCCACCTGGTTTTTTGGCATTATGAGTTAAAAAGTTATTGTGTTGAACTAATGACCTTCAGTATACCAGGAGGTACTGGTTAAGCCACATTATGGTGCTGTTGTAAGCAACTTTATAATGCTAATTAGTTTTGGTGCTATCATAACTGATACCAATAGAGCATGTTTTGTGGCAATATTGTTAAAAGCCTATATTTTTGCAGTGTTATGTATTTTACAATAGCTGTGGAAAGGTTTAAATTTGGGATATGCTTCAGGCAATCAACTTAAGATATATTGCAGACAGGTGCTGGTTCATACTGATCCCTATGCTCATTGCTGTGGAGGTATCCAGCAGGCACAGTAACTTGTGCACATTGAAGGAAACAATGTCTGTGTTTGTTTTGGGGACAATGAATTCCTCAGTCTCATTCAGCAGTTTTCCCTGGTTCTTTTGTCAGCACCTGAGGTCTGGTTCGTGTGTCACCAATCGTCACCAAATGGTCCTGTGCCACCAAAAATCCATGTTGTGCAACTGATGCTACAGCAGCCTGTTCCTGCTGCGGTTGTGGATGCCTGGTCGAAGTTGCAGCAGCTTGCAGCTGATGTTTGACCCCACTTACAGCAGGAGAAAATGTCTTGTCTTCATGGGATTGAGCACTGTATGCTGCATGGTCCCATTCTGCAGCAATCATCATCCGGAGTCTGCACAGTGCGCCCCGATCCTCGCTGCTGCAGTGGATGTTGCAGACCCTGACCCAGTCCCTGTTGCAGCACTCTCGCAGCAGCTGTCGGGCCTGCAGGTGCGCCACCAGACGACGGAGACGCCGCGCGCCTACGGCAACCTCAGCGATGACGACCGCATCTTCACCAACCTGTATGGCCGCCACGACTGGCGGCTGAAGGGCGCCCTCAGCCGCGGCGACTGGTACAAGACCAAGGAGATCCTGGTCCACGGGTCAGAGTGGATCCTCGGTCAGTGGTGGTGCCAGCGGCGGCGGGGTCTGGGCGGACCCGGGAGGCTGGGGAGCGGACCCAGGACCAGGACGGGGACCCAAGAGTCTGGGAGCGGACCGGGGACTGGGGCGAGGACCGGTGGCTGGGGCGTGGATTGGGGCTGGGGCACCGACTAGGGGCTGGGTGTCACTCACATCCGGGTAGGTGTAGTTTGAAGTGTTTGGAGGTGCGGGGAACATAGATGGATGCCCGGAAACCAGCATGTTCATGTCACGTCATGTTCATGTCAGCTTTCATGCTGCGGACTTCTCGGAATGTGGGGCTGTATACGTCTGGCCCCTTACTATTTGCAATTAGTTGCTAACACTGCGGTACTTTCATCAGAAAACTTAACCAACTTTCTAATTGAAGGACTTTAAGCACATACAATGGATGCAGCGCGAACCAGCTGGTGCTAGCCTTTGACTCAATGCCAGACCTCCCACCAATGCACCGTCTCCGCAGGCGAGATCAAGTCGTCGGGCCTGCGCGGCCGCGGTGGCGCCGGCTTCCCCACCGGCATGAAGTGGAGCTTCATGAACAAGCCGCCAGATGGCAGGCCGAAGTACCTGGTGGTCAACGCCGACGAGGGCGAGCCGGGCACGTGCAAGGACCGCGAGATCATGCGCCACGACCCGCACAAACTGGTGGAGGGCTGCCTGGTGGCTGGCTGCTCCATGGGTGCGCGCGCCGCCTACATCTACATCCGCGGCGAGTTCTACAACGAGGCCAGCAACATGCAGGTCGCCATCAACGAGGTCAGTTGGCGAGGGCGAGCTGAGTAAGCGGGTGGCGTAATGGGTGGAGAAGTCGCGGCCTCGTTTCCCAACGGCTTCAGAATTTTACGCACCCTTGCCGAAGGTCTGATAGGATGCGACGCTGCTGAAACGTTTCATTTCCTTCAAATCTGTCCTGGTGCATGTCTTAGGGCCCTTGCTCGGCTACCTCGCTCCTGCCGACGTCCACCTCCCCTCTCGCTGGCAGGCGTACAAAGCCGGCCTCCTGGGCAAGAACGCCTGTGGCTCCGGCTACGACTTCGACGTGTACATGCACCGCGGCGCCGGGGCCTACATCTGCGGCGAGGAGACGGCGCTGATCGAGTCGCTGGAGGGCAAGCAGGGCAAGCCGCGCCTGAAGCCGCCGTTCCCGGCTGACGTGGGCGTCTTCGGCTGCCCCACCACCGTCGCCAACGTCGAGACCGTCGCCGTGGCGCCCGTGCGTACTTGTAGTGCGGAGTCCGCCCGTTAGATGGCGGGTAGTGTGAGTGTTGAGGCGGCGGGGCGGTGAAAGTATGTGGTTCCGGGATAGGCCACAGCGTATAGGGATTGTAATGTCATCTTTCGCGCGGACGTGTGCTTTTCCCTGGCAAAAGGTAGCGGGAAACTCGAAACGTTGCAAAACGATGGGCATTTCATTGTTACCTGGAATGCTCCAGGGATTGGTGTGAAATATTGGTGTTAATTTGAGCCTTGTATGATTTCTTGGAACAGAACACCTCAAAGCAGTAACGAAGTCAAATCAGGCCGCTCGCGTACAGCTGACGGTGCCCGGCGCCCTAAGACCTCCTGTGTTAGCACCACCACCTGTGTGTCTTGTGTCTGTGACACGGTCCGGACCCCAGCCCCTCTGACCTGGTGTACGCCTGACCCCCACCCGCAGACCATCTGCCGGCGCGGCGGCGCCTGGTTCGCCGGCTTCGGCCGGCCGCGTAACACCGGCACCAAGCTCTTCAACATCTCCGGTCACGTCAACAACCCGTGCACGGTCGAGGACGAGATGTCTGTCCCACTCAAGTAGGTCTTACATCTGTGCTCCCTCTGTCGATTTATCTGTCTCTGTCTCTGTCTCTGGCTCTGGCTCTGGCTCTGGCTCTGGCTCGGCTCTGGCTCTGGCTCTGGCTCTGGCTCTGTCTCTGGCTCTGTCTCTGTCTCTGTCCCAGTCCTTGTCCCAGTCTTTGCCCCAGTCTGGCTCGGGCTCGGGCTCGGGCTCGGGCTCGGGCTCGGGCTCGGGCTCGGGCTCGGGCTCGGGCTCGGGCTCGGGCTCGGGCTCGGGCTCGGGCTCGGGCTCGGGCTCGGGCTCGGGCTCGGGCTCGGGCTCGGGCTCGGGCTCGGGCTCGGGCTCGGGCTCGGGCTCGGGCTCGGGCTCGGGCTCGGGCTCGGGCTCGGGCTCGGGCTCGGGCTCTGGCTCTGGCTCTGGCTCTGGCTCTGGCTCTGGCTCTGGCTCTCTCTCTCTCTCTCTCTCTCTCTCCTCTCTCTCCTCTCTCTCTCTCTCTCTCTCTCTCTCTCTCTCTCTCTCTCTCTCTCTCTCTCTCTCACTCTTTCCTGCTCTCTCCCGCCCTGTCTAGACCACGCGTTTTGCAGCTTCACCTTTCGCCCCGTCCCGTTCATGCACGCTCTGCTCCTCTCCCCTCGCCCCGGCCCTCTCTCCGCCGACCGTCTCCGGTCGCGTCGCGCCTCTCGGGGGATCCACTGCAATCTGCCGGCTGCCAGCGGCGCCGAGCTAAGGGGCGTGATCAAATCGACGGCTGAGACGGGCCGGCGCTCGGCGGCGAACGCCGGTGCCGCTGGGGGCGGCCTGCTGCGCCGGTCGTCGTAGGTCACCGTCACCGAGACGCCACGGCGCCCGTCCGGCCGGCGCTGACCTCGCGGCCAATCAGGCCCGCTAGAGCCGCTGGTGATGTCGGACGGGACGGAGGCAGGTCTGAAGGCTGGGGTATTTGGGTGTTTTTGTCTTGGGGGAGGGGAGACGTAAGCAAATTTGGTGTCAAAGTGGCAGACCTGGTCACACGGATTTGTGTCCGTCTCAAACCAATCATGAGCGTGTCTGCTGCGGAATATGCAGTGGGCTGTGATGTCATTCCGGTCGGTGATCCACAATAGGTTATTGGAGGCCGGCACCAATGATGAGGATCAGACACTGGGGCCGGGTCGGGCCCTTGGCTTCGAAGTCAAATCCAAAGCCTAGACATTGACTAAAACCAAATTAAAAGCCGTAGCAGGCGGCCTCCAATTTTGCATTATGCATTGATATTCATGATGCATTGATAAGTGATGCCTTATCCTCAATGTATGCCACCTGTGTGTTACTACATGCAGGCCTATTTTGCTATGTGTCGTTAACTGGAGTTCTCAGTTGGGTGCGTTCTTTTCTGTCGGGGTTCTTAGGCACGAATTCTGATTTTGTCAGGTCTTCTAACTGTTCATTGGGTGGCTTTCTTGGCTCCATTCTGTCCTGGCCTGCCCCCTCCCTCTCCCCCCCATCACTTTCCCCTTCCTGATCTCATCGTCGGCAGCCTTGCCAGGCTATGTCAGCCACTTCATCGGTTACGCTGTCAGGAGCGCGGGCATTCCGCGTTATCGATCTGGCCTATTCCCTGACCGGGTCCGTGATCCGGCGCTGCCCCCGAACGTACCTCCTGACCGGAGCTGCCGTGCTCAGTCATGATCCGGTGCTCCTGCGCCACCTCCTGCTGGTCCTGGCTAACGTTCGCCAGCCGGTAATGGTAGAACCTCCCTCCCGAACGGACGGTTTATGGCGTCGTAATGCAGCGTTACTGCCCTGCCTTCCTGGCGGCCGTGCCGTTATCCGTCACGACCCGGTGGCTCTGCTGTAATCAGCTATGGACCGCCGATGCTGACCAGTCTGGGTCTAATCTCGTGACCAGGTGGGCCCGGTCGCACCTGACCCGTGTCTCTCCAGCGCGGCTGGTCCGGCGGCGGCGCGGCCGGTCCGTGACGACCGACGTTGACGCGTCGGTGCCGTCGCAGAGCCGTATCGACGTTCGCCGGCCGTGCCCAGTGACCTTATCTGGGCTCGGGCGGAGGCCGGGGCTCGCCGCCGGCGGAGGCCGCGCCGCCGGCCGTGAAAGGCCCTCGGGCGCCGCCGCCGCCGTCGTCGATCCGGCTGTGACGTCATGTCTGCGTGTCCGCGGCCGTCTGTCATCTCGCTGTTGTGCCCTTGCCTGTCTGTGGTCGGCTGTGACGTCACCGCGGTGTCTCGGTGAGCGTCGGCGTGACCGGCGATCGTTAATGCGGCGTCGATCTGTCTATGCCGGCGGCCGTCTGTGACGTCACGTCTCCGCGTCGCCGGCCGTCTGCGTGACGTCGTGCGCGCTGTTTGTCGACAGGCAGCTGATTGAGCAGCACGCGGGCGGCGTAATCGGCGGCTGGGACAACCTGCTGGCGGTGATCCCCGGCGGCTCGAGCACGCCCATCATCCCGCTCTCGTGAGTCGGCCGGCGCTTACCGAGAGGTCGTGGGTTCGATTCCTACCGCGGGAAACTTTCGCGGGTCTAGCCGCCGGCAGGTTCAGGTGGCCCTGAAGACCGTCGCGGTTAATGATTCTATGTGCTGACGGCAATTCGAACAGCTGTGATCCTGAGAGGCCGCTAGCCTGTGTGGGCCTGGTGCGTGAGTTTCACGGTCCCATGGGGTACCCGTCGCCATGTTCAGATGGTGGGGTGCTTGTACTGGTGATCCCGCTGGGTCTAAGCTCACCGATTTGTATTTCATGAACGCGCATGGCCGTTGGTCACAGGCTGCTTACATATACTGTCAGGATAACTGGCAAGCTTTGCGTCATTTAACCGTATTTATTAATTTAATTTGACTCCGATGAAGAACATGGGCCTTTTCTGTCAGTTCTTTCAGAACTTTGTCCCTACAGTTAAAAGGTCGTTTTTGTCATTTCGTAGTTCATTATTCCGGTGTCCTATGACGTCACATCCAATTATAGGTGATCGGGCTGGTCTATTGTATGCCGTCTGTTGCTATGCTCAACAGAAGCGTCTTTGGAACTGTGACTCGAACTGTGACGTCACCGCCACAAGGACTTCTCTAAATGTTGCGATGTCTGGAAACTTCTGGAGAGGCAAAAGTCTGGAAAGGCAAACCCAGCCAATTGATGTAAAGTTAAGGTGAAGGTGAACAGAAGGTGACGAAAGGTGAACAGTCAGTCCCCGCATGGTGTTTTTCTTGCTGCGCATCTCTGTACAACACTGGTCTCCCTCGTTCGTTAAGCTCCTAGAGGTTTCAAGTATACTGGCCCACCCTTGATGCTTTTCGGCCGTGACATCGGTCTCCTGTTCGCTCTGCTCCTTGTGGTGTCAAACAGTGTCCTACCTTTATGCTTTTCGGGGCCGTGTCCTTTGCTTTCATATATATATATATATATATATATATATATATATATATATATATATATATATATATATATATATATATATCTATATATATATCTATATATCTATATATGTGTGTGTGTGTGTGTGTGTATGTATATTATCCGTTTTGTATACAAAGCCATTGTATATTAGCTATGCAGCTACTGCTAGAAGCGAAAACATCAGAAAGCACGGGCCGAGTGTCTCCAAACGTCGGCTTGCACCGCTGGTATTTATTGACCGCGTTGTTGGTTCTTGCTAACCAGACATAAATTTTCAACAACTTACTGCAGGCGGACTGTGATATACGCGGTCGCCGTGGCTGATGTACTAGCCATCTTGATGTGTTCCCGGTTTGAGTACCTCGCGGGGTTTCGTGACGCGCTGTGGCCGTCGGCTCCTGTGATGAGACACTGCCCAGGGGTGTGATATTTCCACCCGTCTCAGCAGCGCCCTTCATCACGGCTGTGCCGTGGAGGGCGTCCATTTCGTGGAGCGGGTCTGCCGGTGTCGTGATGGGATGGCGGTGCCTGTATTTCTTGGGGCGCTACTGTTGATGCATGGGCAGAGGGAGGAGCGGCGGCCGCTCGTTACTGAGCAAGACCTTCGGCTGGGGAAAAGCGGAGGGCTGTCGCGCGCGAGCCTAATGCCAATGCTGCTATTGCGCTGCTGCACCCCAGAAGACGGAGTGCTGCGATGCGGCCGGTATGCGTTGTGCAAAGTCAGCCGCCGTGTTTTTGGCCCGCTGGAGCACGCAAAACAAGGCCATTCATTTGACGGTGAGGAGGGGAGCTCCGAGTGCTCATCCCGCGCGTGACGGAGAGGAGGGGAGCTCCGAGTGCTCATCCCGCGCGTGACGTTCCTCTGCGGAAACTTGAACCCGCGCTTTGTAAAGTGACTCCAAAGGTGGGCGCCGGGATCGGTCGCAGCTGTCTGTGGCACCTGGTGCAGGTGACTGGTGCAGGCACCACACCAGTCTGGCGCGGCGATGCATCAGTCTGGTGGACTGGCGCTGGATCAGTCACCAGCCGCAGACGCGGCTTGGGATCAGTCACCAGCTGCAGACGCGGCTTGGGATCAGTCACCAGCTGCAGACGCGGCTCGCCGTGTTCGGCTGAGGCGAAGCCCTCTCCGCCAGCCATCAGCGCGATCTGTCGCCGCCTGTCCGTCCCAGTCCGGTACCGCTATGTGCCAGGGGCGTGATTCGGGGCCGGTGGCCGAGGGGGGGGGGGGCGGTTGCGCCCTCGCGGCCCCTGCCGTGCTCTATTGTCTCCCCCCCCCCCCCCCGCCGGGCCGCCCGTCATTCGGGAGCAGGCACCACTCCCCGGCTGAGTGCGGGGGAGGGAGAGGGGGTGGCGGCGGGTCGTTGAGGTCAGACGGGGCTTCGGTCGGCGCGCTCGAGCCCGGCGGTGGTCAATACGACCGCGGCCACGTGTCGGAGGGCGCGGTCCACCGAGCCGCGCCGCGGTGCAGAGAGGTCGTGGGGCGGGCGCGGCCGGCGCGGCCCACGCACCAGCCGTCGGCGGTCCAGCGACGGCGCCCTGCGACGCTCGGCGACGGCGCAAGCGATGCCCGGGTCTCGGGGCGCGTGCTGTAACGTCGCGGTGCCGTGTCTGGTCGACACCGCCCACCTGGCGGTGGTCTCAACCGACGAGTCGACTCGGCTGCTCGCGGGCACGCGGTCCGGTCGGCTGGTTGATCGTGGCCCGTGGCGATTCGTCGCACCGTCGCGGGGGGGGGGGGGGGGGCTGTAATCCGGCTGGTGACAGTGGTGGCGCGGTAGGTGACCGCAGGCCGCAGTCAGCTCAAACCGCGCCGGAGCCTGCGGCATCGCGCCGGCGGGAGCCGGACCACGACCAGGCGGTGTCGAGCTGACGGCGGCCGCTCAGCGGCTCCCGGCCCGCCGCCGCCGCCGCCCCCGCGTGTCGCCCGGGCGTCTTCGCCGCCGTGGGTCGCCGCCGTCTGCGTCGCACTGCGGACGGCGCCCGGCCCAGCCGGCCGGCCCGCTCCCCGCGAAACTTCGCCCGGGCAGCGCTGCAGTAACTCTCGGGCAGCGGGGACTCCCTGGAGGTGACGCGCTGCCGAGTAGGGTCGTGTTTTACGTGGCGCGGCGGCCGACGACGTGAAAATCGGCCCCTGTTGACCTGCTCTCTGACTTCGGACAGGAGCGGTGGTGGGTGACGGGGACGCGGGGAGGCAGGACGACTAGAGTGAAGGCGGCAGACCAGATGGTAGCGATGGTGGGTGACAGGGACGGAAGGAACAAGAAAGTCCGGGCGGAGGCGACGGACCAGACAGGGGCGGTGGTGGGTGACGGGGACGGGGGAGACAGGACGACTCGGGCGGAGGAAGCGGACCAGACGGGAGTGATGGTCGGTGACGGGGACGGAAGGAACAGGATGGCTCGGGCGGAGGCGGCGGGCCAGACAGGGGCGGTGGTGGGTGACGGAGACGGGTGGAGACAGGGCGACACGGGCGGAGGCAGCGGACCAGACGGGAGAGATGGTCGGTGACGGGGACGGAAGGAGCAGGACGACCGGGCGGAGGCGGGAGCGGCCGCTGTTTTGGCGGCAGCGACAGAAGGCGACCGCTGGTGCTGGGATCGGAAGGAGATGATCGAACTACCAATGCCGGTGCTCGCATGACAAAGCAGGATTGCTCTGCTTATGACCATGGCGGGCGCAGACATGGGGACATGGTGTGACATTGCGTCTCTCCCGCTGATCTACAGTGTGTGGAGAAGCGTATGCCTCATTTGTGGTAGAGTTGCATGGAGCCAAGGCAAGCTGAGATGGTTTGAGTTTAGTTCAATTCAGTTCAGTTCATTTCATTTAAGTTCAGTTCCGTCGATTTGAGTTGAGGTGAGTGAGTCAAGAAACAGCGGGCTAGATGGCCGAGTTTTGGAACGCAATCAATGGATGTCCCAGTCCGAGCAGTTTTTAAGTCAAGGTTCCGAGACTTCGTGCGCTGAGGACTGCAACATATTTTGTTTTCCCTCCGGAGAGTCATCAAATGGGGGTTAGTTGTCAAAACACGCGGGATTAAAAAGGTGGGGTGCCTCCAGCCCTGTAGAACTTTGGCCTCGCCTTCCCACAAATTAGAGGCCTTCGCGCCAATTTAGGACAGAAACGCCACAACTTTAGGAGTACGCTGCACCGCACGCTTCGGACTCGGCTTGGCGGCGGCGTTTGAGGACGAAATAAACCAGCTGTCGGACGAGGCCACTCGCCTACGAAACGTCCGTCGCATTTCTGTTCGCCCCATTGAGCATGCGTCTTGCATGCTCTCGTCGTCACGGCTGCGAGCGAGACTACAGCCCAGTCGATCAGATCAAATCAGATCAGATCAGATCAGATCAGATCGATCTCTTCCTGCGCGCTGTCAGCGTACAGCGAGCCCGCCTACGCGCTTTTACGGCCTGCTGACCACGCGCCGTCCCCGCCGGCTTGTGTTACATTGTATATGCTACGTAGGGTATCGTAAGTTATCATTTTATGTGTTGTGTGATATGGTATATTTTGGATACGATATTTTTGTAGTATCATTTATGTATTCATTTATTATTTTATGCTTTAATTCATATGGTATATTTCATATCACCTTAGATACCTGCTCCTGGCAGAGGTGGTTTATTTCGCTACGTATTCAGCGCGCTGCGACACTGACCGACCTCGCCAGGCGTCCGCGCGGCGATCGTCGCTCTCCCTCTGTGCTCGCCGCGGCCCGCCTCACACGCAGCCTCTCTCTCTCTGTCCGCCGCAGGGTGTGCAGCGACGTGCCGATGGACTTCGACGGCCTGCTGAGCGCCGGCACCGGCCTCGGCACGGCCGCCGTCATCGTCATGAACAAGCAGACCGACCTGATCAAGGCGATCGCGCGCCTGATCGAGTTCTACAAGCACGAATCGTGCGGCCAGTGCACGCCCTGCCGCGAGGGCACCGGCTGGATGGACAAAGTCATGTGGAGGTCAGTGGCGGGCGCGGCTGCGGGAAGGGCAAGGTCGTGTGAAGGTCGATTGGGCTGGGAAAGGGGAGGGGGCGAGACCGTAAGCGTGGTGACGATTGGTGTGGCCGACGCGGCGACTTGCTACAGCTTGCTGCTACTTGCCCGTCCTACAGCGATGAGCCAACAGTTCAGCGGCTGGGGCTGAACGGGCGAGCGAGACAGGTGGTACCGCTCAGGGAGACCTGCGGGGACCGCTGACCGCCATCTGACGACTGCGACCGCCGACTGAACACGGCCGGCGGTGCCGGGCAGCGGTCCCGGTCGCGGGCGTCTCTCCGCCGCGTGCGGGCCGGTCTGCGCGGCGCTCAGTGACCCGGGACTGGTCACGGCCTCGCCCCAGCGGCGGCCGGCGGCCGGCGCCGGACGCCGATCGATGCCCGGTCAGCAGCCGCGCCGCGCCCGCCGGCGGCCGGTGCAGACTGACCGGCGGCGTCTGGCTCGCGGCGTGGGAACGGTCCGGCCGCGGCCGGCTCGTGGCGTGGGACGGTCCGGCCGCGGCCGGCCCACGGTGTAGGACGGTCCGGCCGCGGCCGGCCGGTGGCACGGGGACGGCTCGACCGCGGCCGGCCCGTGGCACGAGAACTGTCTCGCTGCGGCCGGCCCACGGCTTAGGACGGTCTGGCCGCGGCCGGGCGCGCTGAACTACCCCCGGGCTCTACGCGAGGCAGCTCCTCGCTGGCTCGCCGGCGTGGTCACTGCTCTGCGAAGTGTCAGGTCGAGGATGCGAAGTGTTAGGCCAAGTCAGTGAGGAGCGAGTTCGCTGAAGAGGTAGAGTGCGCTGCTTGGTATGCGGGGCGGATGGCGTACAGACCCTCCTTACGGCGGCTCTGTGTACGGCAGAGAGGGAGGATGCGAGGGGCTGCCTTCCAGGCTGCCCTGCTGGATGCCGGGCAGATGTGCGCTGCCGTCGCCGCATGCCTGCCTTCCCTGTCGGCAGCGGAGACGAGGGAATTATCCGGAAGAGACAGTGCACAGGTGATGCAGCTGCTCCTGTTCCCCTGGGTGGGCGGTGGGCAGGAGTGGGGGAGAGATGCACGACACAGGCGAAGGGCGTCCGTGGCGCAGGCCGCCGCTTATCCCAGCCTCGCGCGTCGCCGGCGGCGGGGGCGGCTACGGAGCGGATGGCGTGCAGACGCGGCTCCTGTCGTCCACGTGAGTGGAAGACGGGGCGGGCGAGGTGGCGAGTGGGGAGTGTCTGTGCCGATGGTGTGCAGACGCGGTCCCTGTCCCATGTGGGCGGAAGGGGAGGAGGAGGGGCGGGGCGGAGACAGGACGCCGCTCCTTCAGACCAGACGGGAGCCGCCGGCGCCGTCGAGTGATCAATCACCCGGCTGGCTGCCTACAAAGGCCGCCGCGCGAGGAATATGGAAGACGGGATGTCGGCCTGGCGGCGAGCCAAACGACGTTCCCGACATGAAGGAGGCGGCAAGCTAGACGTCGGTGCTTCACCCATGTGACGTGAATGACTGTGTTCGCGCCTTGTGCAGGTGTGTTGTGGATTGATTAGTGTATTGTTTTCCTCGGCGTAGAGCTGTTGGAATTTTGGAGGGATATGGAGATAAATGGAGATAACAAACAGGAAGTCAACTTTGCTAATAAAGATGCCAACTAATTGATCAATTTTACGGTAACATTAGTCATTCAGCGGCTTAACAGCTTAAGGTTACTGGCGCGGTATGTAATAAGCTTCAACGTCCGTTTATTCTAGACATTTCCAATTGGTCCGGAATAGAAGCGGCATGATCTGCCCATTTCTATCGATGCCCATCTGTCCGCGGCGAGATCATGACTCCGCGGCATGATCGATCCGTCCGTGCACCATTCATGCTCCTTTCCGTGCTCGGCCGCAGTCAGCGCGGTTCTGCCAGTGCATGTCAATGTACTTCACTACTGTCAGTGTGCAGAACAGCGGCTTGCCGTGCTGCCTGGTGGCATTCTCCGCCTGTGGACCGCTGTATGCTGCGATGGCTCGCGCTGGCTCGTCCTGCGGGGTCGTCAGTTGCCGCCGCGGCTCGTCGCTGCTGCGGTCCCGGGGTGTCCCACCACCGGCGGCGCGTGCACGCCAGCCTGCGGACGGTGGCTGGTCTGAGACGCAGGCCTTAGCTGCTCCGAGTTTGAGTGCATGGGGTGCGCTCGCTAGTGGCCATGCTTAGACGTGGTCTGCGTAACCCAGCCAGATCCGCGGCAGGCAGTCGGTGTCCGCTCGCCGGGATCTCCTGTCCAGACATGGGCGGTCTGTGTCCGCCAGACGTCTCCAGCCCGTGTCTGCGCACGTGGAGGTCGTGTCCAGACACTGCTCCTCGGCCAGGTCCACGTCAGCCGGTGTCCAGACACCAGCTGTCCGATCCAGACACTTCCCAGCCTGTGTCGGGCTGCCGCGGGCGGTGCCGACCAGCGGCGACCGGTGCCCATCTTCCAGTGCGTGTCGCCCGGCGGCGGCCCGGCGGGCGTGCCGGGTCGTGCGGCTGACGGCGCCTCGGTCAGGGTCGCAGTCGAACGCGCCGGAGCGGGGCAGCCCGGCGGGATTGGACGGGACGCACCGGCGTCGGTCCTCGGAAAGCGTTAATTGAAGCTCTGGCGTTATGAGCCGGCCAGCCGGCCGTGAAGGGCCGGCGGCGGACTCCCCTCCTCCCCTCCGCCGAACAGAGCCGCGCCCGGGGGCGGGGGAGGGGGACTTCGTGACGGGTGGTCGGTGCTAGCGACATTTTATGGGCGTCTCGAGTGCCGCACTTGGTCTGATGCGGTCGTTCGGTAAAGCGTGGCGCGCGCTCGCGGAAGCTGAGTCAGAGACCGTACGGCGACGCCTGTCAGGGGCTGTACGTTCAGGTCGTGGGGGTCGCAACCAATATGCCATATTAATGTAACGGACTTTGTTCGGCGAGCCCTTTTATTACAGATTGTAGATCGGGCTGTCACAGATCGCTTTCCTGAGATGAAATTCAACGACTGAGCAGTCGAGTTGGCGGTAACATTGAAGTTCATTTCGTGTCGTCGTTTGTTTTCTGTCACTTGTGACCACACTGGCCCGTGCTATGATGTCTTATTTTGCCTGGAGGCGACGGGCAAACTGTTTTCTTATGCCGAGGCGCGGTAAGGGCATTATTACATTCTGCCGGCTTTCGTGCTGCATTCTGTTGGGTTTCTGGAGCGCCATAATTTGATGGTCGAAGGCTCGTTCCATGCGCTGGAATCACCCATCCGCGGTTATTGCCCGCCATAAATCAAATGGTTTGAAGGCGTTGCAGGGAGCGCGGCAAACGGCGAACGTTGAACAGTATACTTTTGCACTATCCGTGAAGCCTGCTCAGTTTTGGTGAGGCGTCCTCTTCGGGCCGCCTGTTTTCACTCAGAATGGACTTTTTCTACATAATTGCTCGTATGGTTTTTGGTTATCTTTTACCTTCATTGTATGGATTAAAGTGCATTTTACTGCGTCGCTGATTTTTACTCCCGCCTTTTGTATCTCGCCAGTATTTTCAGTTACGTAGGGCCAGACAACATACAGATGAAGTTTGAAAACAGCCAGACAAGTTAGCATCCAGTACAGACAAGATAAGCTGTGGGACAAGCGCCATCAAGTTAGGGGGTGTAATGCCCAGTAACTTTCCAGCAACTTCCAAATGCATGTCACGGGATGACCCTCCCCTTCCCCCTTTACCGTTTGGGAAACTAGATGCGCAGCTAGTCTGCTTTCTTTAAACGTATGTCCCCGGCGTTGGAGCACGGGCAGCAGCAGTTCCTCAAGCAAGAAACATTCCACCTGCACAACAGTTCAGGCTGGGTCAAAAACATCTAGCAGCTCGTAGGCCCGAGTCCGGTGCACAGCTGCTGCGAGGGTCACTCGGATGACCCGCACGAGAGATTCTGACGGCGATGGTAACGCACTAGGCCCCTTATCTTCTATCGACAGCCGTGACCTGCCCGACGGCTTGCGTCTGATGTACGCGTTGTCTGTTACGGGGCGTTTTTGCTGTGCGTCGCGTGCCTGCTGTCAGGCGCGCGCTGCTTGTAGAGCCGTCGTGTGCTCGTTGTTCGTTGCGTAGCCATTGTCTGCGTGTTGGCTGCGCTCGCCATTGCCCGTGTAGTTCTTTGTGTCTGTTTTGTGCTCGCTGTTTTTGCCGGGGGAGAGGCGGGCGACGCTGTGCGGCTCCAGCGGCCAAGAGTGTCGTAAACCCCAGTGACGGCGATGTCTGTTGTGCGTCCGTTCTTCTCGTCATCCACCACGCGCCTCTTCTGCTCTACCTCCTCCGCCGCCCGCCGCCCACTTTCGCCCGCCCCCCGCTGCGCCCCGCCCCCAGCGCGTGAAGCCCCCTCCGACAGCCCGCCCCCGTCTCCGGCAGGTTCGTCGAGGGGAACGGTCGTCCGGAGGAGATCGACATGCTGTGGGAGCTCACCAAGCAGATCGAGGGGCACACCATCTGCGCCCTGGGCGACGGCGCCGCCTGGCCTGTGCAGGGCCTCATCCGCCACTTCCGGCCGATGATTGAGGAGCGCATGCAGCAGTACGCCGCCGCGCAGGCCGCCGCCGCCGCGCCGCAGGCCGCCGCTCAGTAGCCGAGCCGCCCCGCACGCCGGTGGATTTCGGTAGACGCCGGTGGGCTTCGGTGCTCCGGTGGATGTTGGTAGACGCCGGTATAGTGCTATGTTGCTCGGTATTTTCCGATGGACGCTGAACGGTCCTGGAGTCGAGACGGTTTCGGCGCCAGGACGAGCCCAGGTCTGGTCGGTCGCTCCAACTCCCCGCCGTTGCCCTGCTGCAGCCGAATGTGTCGCGTGTAGCCGCCGGGGCCCCACCTACGCATAGTGCCGCCGTAGTGCTGACCCGGGTCGGGCGTGGCTGGTGTCGGTGCGTCTCCGAGCCGTGTACAATAGGAGGGAGGGAGAGGCTTCGGAAATATATGACCTATGAGTGAAACCGAGCTAGTGGCGGCGACCGGTTTCTGAGTGAGACCGGGGTTTTGGCAGTGAACACCCTCCGAGCGAGACCGGAGATTTGACAGCCCACATCACCACTGCACCCCTGGGAATCCAGAGGTACGGGGCTCGATTCCCCGCGATGTCCACCCTTCCTGCCAGGCTGGGAGGCAGGCGACGCCATATAGCCTCAACAGCTGAGTGCGCCGTAATTCCCCACGACAACAGTCAACATCCCCCCAAGTAAGACCGGAGTTTTGGCCGCAAACACCCTCGAAGTGAGACCAGAGTTTTGGCAGAGAACACCCTCCGAGTGAGACCGGAGTTTTGGCAGAGAACTCCCTCTGAGTGAGAGTGGAGTTTTGACAGCGAATGGTCGTGATGTTATGATCTTTGGACATATACACCTTGAAATCTTCAAATGCTCAGATCTGAAACGGGGGCGCGTTGCGTTCGAGTGGGGTCATTTCAGTGACTGCCTGGCGTTCATACGGCGTGCGGGCTGTTGCGCAATGCAATTGAAAGCCTATGCCACGGAAATGAACCCTAGTCATAACGCTGAATGCACGCGTGCGAGCGCTCTTACATGCTTTAAAGCAGCGGCTGCATGAAACGAATTGCCAACGAAATGCCATCCATGGCTATGATCCCAGGAAGAGGCTCGTGCGTAGTGGACAATGTAGCTGCGAGGATGGGTGCGGTGGTCGGCCAAACCAGTTTCTCTTTAAGACCTCGCGCTGGTCGGAGCTCTTAGCGAGGTCGTAGCCTTTCCTTCTATTTTGCGGACTCCTTTAACTGCTGCGCCATCGTCTCCACTCGCCGTAAACATGCGACGACGCTGGCGAGACGTCTGGAATGGGAGAGAGAGAGAGAGAGAGAGAGAGGGGGGGGGGGAAGTGGGCGGATGTCCACACGTGCCGGGATTCACCAGCGCACGTGTGGACCCGAACTGTGGCGGCATAACGACACCGGCCAGCGCTCCCCACATCTGGACGGCAGAGGCACCAGCCTATGAGTTCAAGATCCGAACATGCCGCTCCTGTCTCGGCAGTGACGGCTGGCAGGGCGGTTGAGGCATGCTCGCCACGCTCCCCAGACACCCGTCTACATCCGTGATCCGGGAGGCCAGGCGCCGCGAGGCACGAGGCGTCGTTAGTGCTGGCGACCTGGCTGGCTGGAAAGGTCACGTACGTAGCGGCCAAGGTGGAGCGCTGCCGTGTCGAAGAACTTTCTGCTTTGTTTCCATCACGTTGTCTATGGCTATCGCCGTTGCTGGGCGTGCCCAATCACATTGGACCATCACATTCTACGCGGCCGAGGTCAAAGCCTCACGAAGTCTCTGCAGCATGATGACAGCAGATCATTCAACGATGCTGTAATGCCGACTCCGTTCACGGTCTACGCAGGAGGGGTGGCGCCAGTGGGGCAGCGGCACGATCTTTTTCTTGGAATAGGAGGTTGACGACTATCGTCTACCGTGCGCATCACGGTTTCGTGCAGTTTGCAAACACAACGCGGTATTGTGCTTCCAAACTCCCGATTTTTTCTCCGAGGAATGACACTATTATTACTGTCTTATCTATGTGAATAATGTTCCTCGCAAATGCACTTAACTGTATTGGAACAGATGAAATCTGAGACGCATATCCAATGCATAACCATAAAACACGGACAGCAAGAGCGAAGCGAGTGCTCGACCGGGATAGACAGCTCTCGGCGTGGTATCGATCAATTGGCGGACAACGACAAAGGAGCACCTGGGCGAACGGAGAGACGTTCATGTCGTTGGATTTTGGCTGGATTCCGGGTGAAGTTGGAGTCGAATCAATTGAGAATTGTGTTAGCCGGACACAAAATTGATAAGAACAAAGGTGTCTACGGGTTGGAAGCATTGACAGATGCTCTCCGAAATGTAATTGACACACATAACCCCATTCGTCCCATATGCATGGACGATAGCTGAAACACTTCAGGTGCCTGTCTTTTTGACGCAATCTCTTATCTAGATCTCTGTGGACGGATCGATAGCATGTTAAGCAAAAAGTGGGGTCATTTGTGCACGATTTGTACTAGAGAAGAATGCATAGACCTACACTTGAAACCGGAATCGTAGTTGAAACGCCGGTCTAGCGTCCACCAGAGCACCAAGCACCAGCATCGCAGACAGTTTAAAGGGGGCTGGCTTCTGCGACATCATCATAGCATCTCCTGATGCTCCATCCGGTGTTCTAGATTGGTTTTGGGTTTTGAGCTGAAATAGTCGTTTTGAAGATCCTTTGATGCAGTTCGCAGTACTGCTCTTCTTAAGACCGAAGCCCGTGTAGTTTTTTAGGTACGCGCGCGCGAAGATGTTCAGGAGTTTTCGGGTAGACTATGTCAAGGTCACCCAAACATTCATGACGCCATAATAACGTCATTAAAATCGTGTCATTCCATTGGTCATACGGCGAACGTGGTCAACGAAGATTGATTGCTGAATCGTTCATTTCTGGCGTTCGTAAGCACGAGTCCCAGATATAACGGCCGTCAATTGGCTCGCAATCAATGTTGTGCAAGGCACGATGACGCTATCAAATAGTGGCGTATTGAGGAGCATGTTTACTAAGAAGGAGAAATTGTGTTTTCTAAAGCGGTCCTTTCCCCTCAAAATTATGCTGTGAGTTACAAGAGAGCTTACTTCATCACACCGTGTGCTTGCTTTAATATCATCAGATGTGGAACATTTCCTTTACTAGCCATCATCACGGACAGTCTAGTGCTAGCACCGCCGCCCTGTAGTACATCGCCACACCATGGTTGGCTGCCAACGTGCTTCTTCGTTTGGAATGTCAGCAGATCGAATATTGCATGGCGTCTAGGTCGGTAAACAGCTGTTTGTCACAGAGGTAGCTAAATATAACGATTGCACTGCCGTCATGCGAAACCTGGGATCAAACACTGCATCGTCGTCGAGTAGCTGTCGAAGTTGATATGCTTACTGACTTGGGCTTTGCCTCATGAATTATTTTAAACTTTGCCTCATGGATTATCCTAAACTTAAGTGGTAGTGTGAACGTCATAGAAGATCACAAAAGTACTCAGGAAGTGCGACCCTGAAAGCACATTGATTGCGTCTTCCAACGGTGTATTTGGCTAACCTGGACTGCAACGGATTTCCTCACGACAGCGATGTCGTTCCCGCGGCGATCCCGATTTCTTGCAATGGCGTGGGCCGAAGCGTGCCGTGTCGTTGCGGGACGAAGCATTTGATGTGTGGTGGGCGAAGTTTAGCAAATACGCGGCGCGCTCTGAACAAACAGGCTGCGGCTCTGGATACCGGAAAGTCCGATCGCTACCACCGGACTGACAATGGGTTTCGCGGCTAGCGCCGCGCCATTTGGGAATTGTTCTGCCCGCTGGGCACGGCTGCCGTCACAACAGGCCGCCTCGTGCCGGGCCGAGGCGCGGCGCTGCCCCCCCCCCCCCCCCGACCACGCAGAGGGCAGAGCAGAGCAGGCCTGATGGTGGGGCGGGGTTCCCGTGAGCGCGACGCGTTCAGGAGTTTGCTTTGCGGTTGAGCGAGTGGTAGTACATTGACCAGTGGTGGCAATCGGTCATAGGCTTTGCGGTACATATTACCAGTAATTGGGACACAGGCTTTACCTGTAACAAACACGTATGAACAATGCTAAGCTTTTACCAATATCAGTGCTTTTTCAATCAGGGAATGTGCGGTCAAGTGCGCACGCAAGATTTTGTTCGGAGGAGGGGAAATGAATCTTCCATGGTTGGGTATGCTTCGAGGCTTGCGGACTCGTGCTCTCGTGCCATGATTGGCTGATGGCATGCAGGATGGCCATGGCCATGGTTAATAGCATACAGGCTATCAACCCAGTAGATCAACAAGGACACCGTATGCCACCATTCAACCGGGAATGGGCCAAAGTCGGCTTCAGGGGGCGTTAAGCCGATGACTTCATTTAACGCATGACTGTCCGGTGTGCAGTCTTTTCTTGGGCCTCGTTCGTTTCGTCCGTCCAATTGTGGTTTCGTCACAGAAAAGCTGTTGTCTTTTGCTACAATCTCCCATTTGCATACAGATATCTTCAACGCATCAATTTACGTGTAAAATTGCATACCTACAGCCTACTGACTCACTGGCTGCTCGGGATAGTTGTTGGGATTTTGTTATCCTGCGCTAAGAAATGCAAGCCAGAAGGAGCTCTTCGTGGTTTCGGATGATGCTCTTTGTCTTTCGTCCTTAACTCCCCATCCCACCTCTCTGTCCATTCATCTATCACTGCCTTGCGTCTCTCTCCCTCTCTCCCTCTTTGCCTCTCTTTCTTTCTCCCTCTCTCCATCTCTCTCTCTCCCTCTCCCACTCCCTCTCTCTCTCCTTCTCCCTTTTCTTTTCCCTCTCCCCCTCCCTCTCCCTCTCCCCTCCCTCTCCCCTCTCTTTCTCTTTGCCTATTCCTCCCTCCTTCCTCCTCTCTCTCCCTCTCTCCGTTTACCTCTTCGTCTGTTGGTAGGTTTTCAATGTCTGCCTTACGTGCCTGCGCCACGTATGCACGTTCCACGTATGCCACCCCCTCTCCCTGTCTATCGATCTGTCTGTCCGTCGTTCTTCCTGTCTGTTATGTTTGAACAGAGCTGCAATGGGCACGTTAAACACCACATGGTCGGCCTTTTCTCCGTAATCCAGGTGAGGATCAGCCACGGCAGCCACCAACCCAGCCAACATTCCTGCTGCCTCTGTCGCAAAACAGGGACGGGTTCAGGCTCAACAACACGGCCGCAGCTGTAATGATTTCTGGCCGGTGGTGACGTCACGTGACCTTTGCCAGGCCGACGCATGCCCCAGCTGCCTCGGACGAGATGACCACGCTCGGCGATGGGCGTCCTGGAGAGTGGGTTACGGGCTGCCCGACACGTGGCGTCGGGACTCACTTACCATTTTCATCAAGGCGACCAGTCACGAATTTCATTGGGCGTTCGAGCCAGTGGGGTTTTCTACGTTGTCAG